AAAAAAAAAAAAAAAAAAAAAAAAAAAAAAATTTTTTTCTTTCCTCTCTTCTCTTGTTACGAAAAAAAAACCAATAAAACTTTTTTAATTTTTTAAGTAATATATCAAATAATCAAATAAATAATTAAAAAAAAAAAAAAGAAAGAAAACTCTAAAAATTAAAAAATTAAAATTATGACAAAAATAATCAAAGTTCTTTTATTGCTTTCAACACTTTTATGGACAATTTCTTCGGCGCCAGTGGATTTTACTCAACAGTTTGAATTTCATATATTTAATCAAAATCCAACATGCGTTCACGCAAATCTTTTATCAAATACGATGAACTTAAATCAACATAACGAAACGGAAGGAATCAACGGATATATATCATCATGTTATTTTAATACAAAACAACATCAAACAGTTATAAGAGGAAGGTTCACTAATTTACCTGGTGATTTAAATAAAAGAAATTATCATTTTTATTTATTGAATCCTGATAATACTTTACGAAGGGATTTATCTCAACTTTTTCAAAGTGGATTAATAATTAATAATGATGGAAATTCTGCTGAATTATCATTAAATTTAATGAAATCTAGTATCTTCCCTTTAGAAGGAATCAATAGTTACGTTAATGGTTGGGTGAAATTATATCATTTACATGATGGGGTTGTATCTTCTGCTGGTCCTGCCAAATTTCATCAAATAGAAAAATTATTAGAAAAAGAACTTTAAAAAATTTATCGAACAATTTATGATTTATTCTATTCTATTCTATATATTACTGTATCAAATTATATGTAAATGTAAATAAAAATTTTCTTGTGATATAATATAATTTCTTTATCTACTATAATTAAGGCATCCCTTCATGATCATAAATAATCACGTTTCTTATATGAAAGTTTAATAATCACTTTTCCTGCAACTGTATCGATATCAAACCTTTTATCGGTTAAGTTTTCGGTCCGCCAATATTTGTTACAAAAGTTTTTTCTTTTATTGAAACAATGAAATACGCCGTGCATATATTACATATATGATTTATATAATACCATTTCATAAAAGGGTTTGTGAAACCTTTATTTTTTTTTATAGAGAACATTCTTGTATTCAACTTGTTTTTTCCGGAATCTAATATAATTTTGTTAAATAATTGCTTTTTTAGTAAAATGAATGAATTGTATAATCGGAAATTTGGCGTGATAGGAATAAATATTTACGGATTTCTTTTGAATTATGCCGTAAAAAATCTATAATAATAATAAGAAGCAAAGTGCATATCAAACATTAAAATCTTTGTACGCATATATTTAAAGAAAAAATTACGCCTAATAAATTTGAAAGAATTAAGATTAAAATATGTGTGGAATCTGTTGACTGTTTCGCATATCTATATATTAACGTCACGTGATCAAACATACTGTTATATCATTAACTGCTGCACATTTCCTTATATGAAAATATTACAGTCAGACCTCACCCCTTGGGACCCATACCATATGCATATCTTTCAAAATAGTGCATTTAGAGAGGTGTGCATTTATAGAGGTTAAATAATTAGAGATCATATAAGCTCAGGACCGGACCAGAGGGTGCATTTAGATAGAGTATACATAGTGGGTGCAATTATGAAGAGTGCAATTATAGAGGTCTTGCTGTATCTATTATATTAACAGTTAATATTAATTTTTTAATATTATCAAAGAAATTAAAGAAATTAAACATAAAGTACGCCTATAATAGTAATCTTTTGTATTCATTTTGCTAAAATTAGTTTTTGAGAACTAAAAATATTTCAAAAATTTCAACATACTTTTCATTGAGATCGGCGATTTTATTATATTTGGTGCATAAATATAAAAGTATAAAAGTATACATTACGAAATGTTTGATATTTGATAGATTTAACACAGATAATGAAATTGACCAAAGACCTAGAACCTGTCACAAAGGCTGATCACATGGAGCTTGCAAAATAATATTAATAATTTTATCCCTATTGTGACTACCCTGATGGAACATTGAGTAACGACAAACTCAACAAAGGGCTTCCATTATTCAAAAATTCCATATGATTGATTACTGGTCAAACTAATGATTTTTTTAGTTCAAAGAAATCTACTAATTAATTAACTGTAAATCTGTAATTAATTCACAATTGTTAATTTTGAAAAACCATTTTGGGTTCTTAAAAAAGAATGAACTCTAACCAATGAAAGAAAAATTCTATTAAAAAATATAAGAATTGAATTGGGATTTTTCAATTATGATTGCGAAAAAAAAACGTATTTCAATCTTTTTTCCTATTTCGGTTAACGAACCACACAAATTTGAATCACATGAAAACTTGCCTGCATATGACAACAAATGAGGTGCCTAATTTTAGATTAACTCAAAAACAGAAAAAAAACAATGAGATAAGACATGCATAAAGATTATCTTTATTCGTGACCATCATACATTCAAAAATTCTACAATAAATAAAACATTCATTCCTTTTTTTTTCCTCTCATTTTAAAAAGTTTAATATAAGCAGAAAATTATTATATTTTATTTTTTCTTCCTTCCTTCCTTCCTTCCTTTCTTATTTAATTTTTTAAATATAATAACTGTTTTTTTTAGTGATGTATAATAATCTTCCAAATTCATATCCTCGACATCAAATAAGCGTTAGTGGCTCTCTTTCTGAAAATATTACTTTGAATGAATCCTCGCTTACAAATGATAGATTATTCAATCCCCCTATACCGAGTTCATCTTTAAAAGTTCCTTTAAGTGATGATATTATAAATGAGCTTTTAAGTGGTGACCTTATTAGCAATCCTAAAAGCCTCCTGAAACTAAACAAGTTGGCTTCAGAACAACCAAATCAATGGACTGTTAGAAGTTTAGTTAGAGCCCTTGAAAAGCTTTGCGATACAAAGTGTTATACATACACTTCTAATGATACGGCTATCATACTAGAATTACACCTTCGGACTTTTGCTTCTGTATTAGAAGCCTTCATACAAAGCCCAGCCGTGCTAGGCCGAGAATTACGTGAAAAGCTTTATAAACAGTTGGTTGAATTCAATAATATCCATAATAACATATCAACTGTTATGGAACAAGGATTAAATAAGACTTGGAGAGGAACATTACGAAATTTAAATGTACCCGATGTTGAATTGCAAACTAGTGGAATAAAAAGAAATTATAATATTGATTTTCTCTTAATTCATTTAAGGGATACATTACACAGCCTAAGTGATGATGAAACAAGATTTCGAGAAGGTACTTAAAATAGAAAATTAGTTTATATATAAATATTATAAAAAATTTTGATTTTAAATTAATTTTTTTTTTNTTTTTTTTGTAATTTATAATTAGGATGGCGAAGGTTTAAAGACTTCTTTAAGGGAATTTTAGGTAATTAAAATAATAATAATAACAACAATAATAATAATAAGATAATATGTGACCGATTTTAATGACAAATTCTTTTTGTGTATTTATTTAGGTATGGCACCTGCCGTGCTTACACCCATCCCCGCTGATAGTGCAAGTATATTAACTTCATGGAATAAGATGAGAGATGCATTTGGATTTAAAGTTCCAGTTTCAAGTTGGTATAAAGACTGGCGCCTCCTCCTGATGCTGCAACAAACACTTGATTCCTCATATCAAGAAGCTGGAAATCATAACCTTAAAAAATTCGGCGAAAGAATGATTTTGGAATTCCTCTGGTTCCATATAAAAAAAATCATTTCCGAACTCACTCCTTCAAAAGATGATGATTTTGAATTTTCAAAAATCCTGAACAATAAAAAAAGGTTGTTTGCGGAACTTTATGGAATGGAACCCCTATCCTACCCCCATACGTTTTGGTTTGGAATTCTTGATCTAGCAGAAAGTGTCTGCGCATCTTCCACGAGATCAATTACGCTCTCTTTATGTTATTATTTGGCATTGGAAAGTTTAAATCATGCACCAAATACTTTTGTGAGATTCAAAGCCATTGAAATCTTATTGAGTTTGCAACATCGTCGAAAGGATTGGTTTGTTGTAGTTGATGCAGATCTTAAAGAGTGTGGTAATAAATTTCAAGATCAAAAGAAATCAAAATTTTTTGGTTTAGTAGATGGTGTGAAATATAAGCTTGTCTCAAGGGAAAAGCTTATGAAATCTTGTGGAATCTCTAATAACCTTGATGATGATTTTCCAGCCTTTACAACTACCGATATTGATCGGTCGGGTCCTTCAATATTATCACTATTGGCTCAGGAAATGCTTTGTCCAGTTATGCTCCAAATAACTGATCAATTTTATGGTCTAAGTTGTGGTCATGTCATTTCGAAGGGCGCTTTCAATATTTACAAATCTTATCGATCCCGAAAAGGAAAAAATTTGATTTGTTCTATTTGTAGGACAGTTATCAATGAAGAATCGTTAACGTTGCTCCCTCAAACTTCAACTTTAAACGCACTATCTGATAAATTTGTTGCGGCAGGGCTCCTGTCGCAGACAAATATTTCTGAATATGAAATATCGAATCCCGATACCATAATGTCTGACGATATTAAAAAATCAAAGTCCCTAAATGATAAATCTCAAAATGAAACAAATGAAACAACGAAAAAAGTTACAGAGCAACTTATTACCCCCACTAATCCACCAGATCCTTTGATAATCGCGAGGGAATGTTTTAAACAAAACCCCCAGAACCCCCAAAAGGCATTACTAATATTGGATAAAACGTTGCAAAACAACGAAAAAGCTCCTCTGGCTTATTTAGAACGTGCAAAAATTTATACCCATTTGCGGAGATATGGTGAAGCTTTGTATGATGTTAACAATTCCCTTTCCCTCCAAAGTCTTCAAGATGATGATGATAATATAGAGGCATATAAACTTCGTTCTCGTCTTCATTTTCATATGAAAAACTACGAACAAGCTTTACAGGACATTACAATCGTTCTCAATAGGATTGAGAGCTATAAAATTGATGAAGATTATACATATGCTTCATCTGATCTTGAAGCATATGAACTCAGAGGAAACATTTTTATGAAGATTGGATCCTTCACAGAAGCGATAGCGGATTTCACTATCGTCGTGGAAAATGATAAATTTAACGTTATGGTGTTGACGAACAGAGGTTCGCTATTTAGAGAGATTCGTAAATATAGGGAATCTCTGGAAGATTTGACGAAGGCGATCCAACTTAATCCAAGTTTCCCGTTCGCCAAATTGCAACGCGGATCTGTATATTGTAAACTTAATAAGTTTGCTGAATCATTAAAAGATTTGGAAGACGTGTTGAATAGTACAACAGCAAATGATGATGATAAATTATTTGCAACAGCCGAAAGGGGAGAGTTATACTGTAGACAAAATATGCTTTATGAAGCATTAATTGATTTGGAGTATGTATTGGCACAAAACCCACACCATGATTTTGCTAGGTCTAGAAGAGGATACGTATTCTTCAAGCTGAAGAAATACGATTCAGCTCTAGTAGAACTGAATGAGGCTCTCAGGTTGAATAAAACTAACTATTACGGTTTAACATACCGTGGAATGGTCCATTTTAAACTTGGGGACTACCAAAATAGTTTAAAAGATTTAAATTTAGTCTTGGATCGTTATCCTAATAATTCTGTTGCAACCCGTCAACGGGGTATTGCGTACCTCAGAATGGGCAAATTTGAGGAAGGGTTGATGGATTTTGATAGGTTGATAAATCTGGATGCGAAAGATATTGATGCTCTTTGTTATAGGTCAGAAATTTTTTATGAACTCGGAAGGTATAAAGACTGTATCGAGGATTGCAACACAATCTTACAGTATGATTCATCAAATTTGATTGCTCTAAGAATCAGAGGAATGGTGCTGCGAAAGTTCCATCAAAATAACAAATCACTTCTTGATTTGGACAAAGTGCTTTTACAGCAACCTACAAATGAGGTTGCTCTTTTAGAAAGAGCCGCCGTTTATGCAGCATTACGCCAATATCCTAGTTCTTTAGCCGATTGTGAGAAAATATTGTATTTAAAGCCGCGACAAAGTATTCAATATTTTCAGGAGATAACAAAAGTTTACGGAGAATTAAGTGAAGCCATTGGAGTGGATGAAATTTTCATTCATTTGGAACGGGTTCTTCAGGATTCGCCAAATAATGCATATGTATTGACAACCAGAGCATATATATATTTGCTTCAATGGGAATGTGATAAGGCGATTAAGGACCTAAATATCTCTCTTATAAACCAACCAAATTTTGTTCCTACATTATATCAAAGATCTATAATATACCGCATTACCCAGGACTATGGTAATGCACTAAAAGATTTAGAAAAAATTTTAGAAGTTGAGCCCGGTAATAGCCTCGCGCTGACCGAGAGAAACGAAATACAAAGTATGAAAGATTTTGATCGAAATCTTTCACTGCAAAATTATCATGAGCAAACTCTAGAAAACCAAGTCTCTCGTCGATCATCGCAAACTTCCGTTACTTCTAGTAACAGATCTAACAGATCTAGCATCAAAAATTACCAATAGTACACGATATCAACATAATTCTTAAAATCGGACTTTTTTTTTTTACTTTTTTTTATATATAATATATACAATTAAAAATGGAATACAATACAATTTCCTATTTTTTTTTTTCTTTCCTCCTTTTGTAGTTTATATAACTTTCTTATAAATATTATTATTATTTTTTTTTATTCAATTAATTTTGTAACATACACCTTTTATTGTACAGTATAATACTTTTTAATTTTTATAAAATATAATTTGTTCTAGACGAACACATTTTTTTCTGGTAAGTAAATATATATACTTATCTAAATAAAAACGAAATAAAACAGAGATTTTATTTTATTACATTTACTGCCAAAAATTTGGACTACCTACATATTGTTCTGCTGTTGTGAACTTTGTTATTATTGTTAGCCTTTTGACGCTCACAATCATACAATCATGTGCCTGAGTTTTTAACGATTTGTTCATTGCGTGATGGTATTAGATTGAAAAATATGTATATGTATCTAATCTTAATAAGTCATTGTATATATCTTGGTTTATATTAAGTCATGATTTGTTTAGATTTTGGACTTTGGAGTGCATTATCAAACATTCGAACATGTGCGGTTTTAGTTTACTTCCATGCAAAGCTAGCGTGTTTCCCAAAAGAAAAGACAATGCCGATGGTTTGGTATATTGGAAAATAAAAAAGGTATTTATTGACTTGGTTTTCCCAATAAAACAATTCAGATTGAGCGCAATTATTTCACGGTATAATACAAATTTATTATAAAAATTTCGCCCAGTACCTTAGTTGCGATTTTGATTCTTAGTTAGGCATTAATAAATTAATCATGCAGACATTTTAGTAAGTGATGAATTAAATAGTATTCTATGTATATATTTCAATATGAAAAAAAGGTATATTATTGATATAGTAGATAAATAAATTCATTTTAATATAAATACTATGCATTTTTTTTTTCAAAAACTTTTTAAACATGATATATACAATAGGTAGACATATGTAGGCACATCCTTTTTTATAGTCGATAAAATTTTTAGATAAAATTAATTTATAAAAATTATTAAAAATATCAAAATTATTTTATTAAATAAAATTATTTTATTAACATAAAAAAACACAATGAAACTAGCAGGATCATTCTCTATATTATCAAAATAAATTAATTTTTAAAGCAATTTAATCATTTTAACCATAAAGTTATAAAAAAAAATATTAAAAAATTATCTAAACCACTTCTGTATTGGTCAAAAAATTTTTTTAGAAAAAATAATTTACAAACGAATTCAACTTTATAGATTTATAAATAAAAATAATAATATAAAATGTTTATACAGATCAATCAGATATAGTTTATAAATTAATCATAAAGTTAAAATATTGAAAGATATCTAAAAAATTTTATAAAGTTAAAATATTAAAAAATATCTAAAAAATTTAAAAAATTTTTAGAAAAATAATTGCAAACTAGACCAATTCATATTTTAATAAAATAATATAAAATATTTATAGATTATAATTCTATATTAGATATCAAATCAATCAGATATAGTTTATAAATTAACTATAAAGTTAAAATAAAATTATCTAAAAATTTTAGAAAATAATTACAAATTCAACTTTATAAATCTATATTTTAATAAAATAATAAAAATATTTACAAAATTCTATATCAGATATTTGATCAATTAATATATACTAGTTTAATAAAAAATCAATATTAATAAAAAAAATTAAGTTATAATTATTAAAATTAATATTTTTTTTTTAAAAAAAAATAATATTTGCAACTATTTAAACAAATATTTATAATAAGAATAATATATATTAAAATATTTAATTTTAATTTTTTTTTTTGATAAAAATATTAATGAACCAATAATATATTTGGATATTTATTATAAAATTTAATTAATAATTCTTTTATCTAAAATGCCTGTAAACTGGAGCAATGCAGTAACAGAATACTTAATTAGGTATAGGAGGTAAAAAAATAATGAAAAATAATAAAATTTTTTAAATTTTTTTTATAAAATTTATTTATAAATAATTTTTTTAAAAAAATGTAATTTATATTTAATATATATTTAAAGAAATTAAATAATTTTTTAAAAATCTATTTTCAAAAAAATTGCAAACATTAATTTCTTTATATAAAATAAATTTAACATTAATAAAAAGGTCTACTGTAAACAAAAAAATCGATTAGGATGTGATAGATTACATAAATAATTTAATAAAAGTAATACACAAATCAAGTTAAACTGTGTCAAATTTCAAGTTGAGTTGAGATATAAAAAAAAAACTATTAATTATTAATAAAAATACAATATATTAAAAACTAGAAATTACAAATAGTTATAAAAAGTAAAAATTATTAAAAAACAAATTAATAATAATAATAATAAAATTTAATCTGATATTGTAAAAATTATTAGAAAAATCTTTTTATTTAAAAATATATCATTTATATAAATTTTTTTTATTTAAATTTAATAATTTTTTTGTTTTTATACTTTATATAAAAAGAAAAAAAAATCAAATAATGACTTTTATTTCTTCTTATTAAAATACTTTTTATTTTTATATATTTTTTAAAAAATATTATTAAAATGCAATGTTTTTTTATTTTTATAATTAATTTTTTCTTTATAATTTTAAGTATAATAAATAAAACTAATAATATAATATTAATTAATAACAAATTAATATTAAAAAAAATTCAATAATAAGATGTATATAAAAATATATATAATTTTATAAATTTATAATATTAAAAAAAAATAAATTTAAAAAATAGAAATTAGTATAAAATCTAAATAAATTATTTATAATATTAATAATAACAAATATTTATAATACAATTATATTATATAATATAATAACTAAAAATTTTTTATAATATAAATATAATATTTTATATTTTTAATATACATTTAATATAATTTATTAATAAATTCAATTACATTCATTAATCACCTATTTGATTAATAAATATATATTTTAAAATATATATTTATTTTAAATAAAATAATAATTTTAAAAATTATTTCTAAAAACTTAATTAATTTATATTTTTAAAAATTTTATTGAAATATAATAATTAAATGATAAATACAAAAAATGATATTTGCCATATAATATTTAATTATTATAAGTCTTAATCTTTTACTTTACATAATATATAAAATTTTATATTATAATATTATATATATTAATACTTTCTTTACTCTTCTTATTCTTTAAAATATTATATAATAAATGTTATTATATAATTTTAATATATTTTAAATAAAAAGTTCAAATTATATTTAAAAAAAATTTCTAAATATTTTCAAATTTTTTTTTTATATATATTTTTAAGTTTATTTTTATTTTTTTAAAAATTATAAATAATAATTACAAATCTAGATATGAAACTAGAACTTTGGTTAAAATTAAAAAAGATATAAATAATATAAATAAAAAAATCACAAATTTTATTTAAACTATATTTTTTAATTAATTAAATTTTTATTAAATTCTCATTATTTTTATATTAACTATATATTATATTTTATATAAAATAATATATAACTTTTTAATTTATAATAAAAATAAATCAAATAAATTATTTTAATTATAAATTATTTTATATAGTATTTAGTATTATAAATGATATTTTAATAAATATATAGTTATACTTTAATAATATAAAAAACTATATATAAATATAATATTATATTAAAATTTTTATAAATTTAAAATAGTATTTTTATTAATTAAATTTTTAAAATTTATAAATTTTTTTTACAAATTAAAGTTATAATATATTGACTTTTATTAAAATAAATTTAAAAAATTTTAAAAAAAAATCAATAATGAATTTACTGTTAAATTAAAAAATTATATATATATATTAATAAAATTAATATTAATAAAATTTATAGGATTTTTAAAAAGTAAAAATATGTAAAAGATCTATTTACTAATAAGATTAATAGATTATTATATATTTATATATATTGTAAATAAAATAAAATATAGAAAAATTAGTTTTTTTTTTATTTAATAATCAGTTAGATAAAACTGGTTTAACTATAATTTGAAATTAAACTGATACTAGGCAGTTTAAATATTTTAAATCATGGTTTGTCAAATTGTAATTTAAACCATAGTTTAAGTCAATTTTAATCTTTATATAAAGTAAAATTATTATTAAATAAAAATTATTAAATTAACAATATTTTAAGTAAAAAATTTTATAAAATTAACAACTGTGATTTGTATTGCAGTTTGTACTAAACAATAAATTACAGTCAGCTCAATTTATTATTTAAACTGCCAGTTTATGGACTGAACCAAACTGATATCATCTTTAATTAAAAGTTAAATATTAATTTAAAAGGAAATTAAAGTTAAAATAGTTTGAATTACATTATATTATAACATAATAACAATTATAAAATAATATAAAATTTCAAATTATAACTATAATTTTATTAATATAAAATTACAAATATAAACACATCTTTTTAGATTTATCTTATTTATTTTATTAAATATGTCTATTCAGTATAAATGCAATGATTTAAAAAATATATGTTTAGAAAAAATTGGAAAACTAGGAGTACTTTAAAAAATACATTTGAAATAATGGAGGAATAAAATAATTATATTATGAAATTAGAAAAAATTTAGAACATCAGATAGAACATCAAGGAAATAAAACAATGGTATGCAAAGAATATTAAAAAATCTAATTAATAAATACTAAAATAACAGAAAATTTTTCATTTATATTTAATCATTAATTTAATGTTTAATTTTATCAATTATATTAAAAATGTAACACTAAAATATAATATAATAAATTGAAAGTTTCTTCAAATCTTCTATTAATTCCATTACTAGTAATAATTAAAATAAACAAATGGTTAAAACTTTATGTAAAAATAGTATAGTTAATAACTTAATATTAATGCCATTTATATGATTTTACTACAATTCAATTCATCTTGATTAAAATATGCTAAAATATTTTCTAAATATTTTATTTGACATTCAATTTAACCATTTTAACTTTAAGGGGCTAAAGTATTCATTTCAACCATTTTGGAGTTAACTAACTTTGGTTTAAAATACCAAAGTGATGTTTATCAAGAATTGTAATAGATATTATCATATAATATGATTAGGTTGATAAATTGAACATGCTATGATAATAATACAGTAATATAAATGATATCTAAGAAGGTCATACAAAAAGAGCTGCTTATGTATTACGTCAACGAATATGGTAAAATTAATTACCGCTAGGTTGAAAAGATTATATAGAAAACATGTAGCGTACGGTGAGCTATGTATGTACGTATAGTTGGGGTGGTCAGTTAACTAAGTAAATCAAAACTATATATGGCTATTTAACTTTTATCATAGTTAAATTTTTTTGATCAAAAATTTGATCAACATTATATTATATAAATTCACATATAAAGTTAGTTCATCTTTTTTTAGATGCCCAGATCGAACAACAACTTCTTTCTCAATTATTTTGGTAAAAATTAGTTTTTATGAATTATACCTACAAAGTTACGAAGCATTTTTTTGCAATAACTAGTAAATTTTTCTAGTATTTTAGATTTAAAATCTCATCTATACATCAAAGTTTACTTTTCCTACCAAATAGCAGGTATTTTTATATTAAATGTAAAAAATAGCTTTGTAACTTTGTTTACCAGGTCGTATTGATGATTTTTATATAATTTGTTTCTCAAGATACAAAACAGTTAGAGCTGTGCATGCATCTAATTTAATGATAAAATGGGGATATATAAATCATATAAACGCTGATTTCAACTAAAAAAAGCAAATGAAATACATATAAAAAAACTATCAGTGAAGAATCGTCTGCTGTCAATGAGGAGATGTCTATTTATGAAGAATTACCTACCAATGAAGAGGAGGCTACCAATAAAGAAGTATCAAATCCACAATGAACACATTTAATTTCAACAATACAACAATTACCTGAGAAAGATATACCTCCAGCAAGAAATCTTATTTCCATTATGCGATATCCAAAAGGACCAAATAAAGGAAGCATAATTTCACCATATTTGCAACAAAAAGCATGTGATTATCTTGATCAGAGTTTTTATAAACATCACTCTACTCATCAATTTTTAAAAGACTCTAATTCAAAACTAGAAAAGAGAAATAAAAAACTTAATCAAAAAAATCAAGCACTTATTAAACGAACTCAGTCACTTGGAGCAAAAGCTCAACACCTCTAAAGTCAGAAATCAAAACATATTGCTGAAATCCGTTCACTAGTTCGACATTCAAATCAGATTACTAATGCAGAATTTCAAAAAAAAGTCAAATCCCTTTTTAAAATAAATAACCGAGAATATACATCAAACACAATTTGGCTTGCAACAAGTATTTTGGAAGTAGGTCAAACATCATTACGCTCTACTGTTGAATATATGAGACTAATTTATGAGTTTTTAATGGGAGAACCACCTCAGGATTAGTTAGTAAAATCTAGTCTACGTACATGGCATCAAGATATCTCTGAAATACATTTTAATGAACAAATTCGTCAAGTCGCAAGTGCATCAGTATTTGGAATAATGGTGGATGAATCAACACGTGGACAAACAAAGAATTTCGTTCTTTGTTATCAATTCTGGAATGAAAAGGATCAATCACCTGTTGCAATACTTGCCCAACTACAACATATTCCAAAATGCAATGCTGATACTGTTTCAGAAACTGTAATAAAGAATATTCAAGAGTGTGGATTGGAATTCAAAAAATGTGTATTATGGGTTACTGACAATACGGCATATATGTCAGGAGAAAAAAAAGGCGCAGTTGTTCTTTATAATAAAAAACAAGCTTGAATTCATTACGAATTGGATGTGGACTTCATATCATCCAAATTATAATGAATCACTTTGAGCAATTTGCATTTGGAAAACTTGCCAGTAATACTGGATTTTCAAGACAACCACATCCTTATAATTTACTTTATTTGGCTTGGAAGTTGCATGATGGTTATGATTCAAGTGATAAAGACAAGCCACTCAATATAAATTCTCAAATAATCAAAGATCTTTATGATAGTTTATTAGGATTTCATTATAACCAATATCAGTTACCACTTTGATCACGCTGGAATTATGAATTATGGACAGCAAAACAATATCTAGATCGGCATATAGCACATACTGAATTTGCCAATTGGTTTATTGGAGAAATTGAACGCAATAATACACCAAAATCATATCTTAATGATTGGTATCTTTTTCGATTTTGGCTTCTTGATTCAAAACTAAATATCCAAATTAGATGCTTAGTGAAATTTGCTGAACATTTTTATGAGCCATTAATGCAATTCATAGTTGGAAAAGATAACACTTTATGAATTTATCAAAATGGTCAATTGGTTACTTTACCTGCTGGTCGGCGTGCCCATGAAATGCCAGATAAAGTTTATGAATGGCGTAAATTTCTTCAAAATCTTGTTGAGAATTTTGAAATGTTTTTTGCTGATGAGCTATCAGGAGCAGTGGATGCCTTATCTAGTGAAGAATTTGGTGTATTCTTTGATAATTTAGAAAAAGGAATTAACAAAGCATTAGAGCATTTTGAAAAATGGTTTTTATCTTGGCTTCATCTGCCATTGGTTATTTGTCATCTTGGTGGGGATAATGGTAAATCCTTTGCTTCTAGTTTTCATCATGTGGTTTTAGAAAAACCTTGGATTAAACCACCAACAGATTTAGAGCTGTGGTATGCAGAAGAACTAGAAAATGATTTAAAAAATGGAATAACCAATGACTTTGGTTTAAATGAATTGCTGTTAGAAAATAGTAATTTTCTCAGAGAGTTTGAACAATTCTGTATTGATGAAAAATCATTTATTTACAATTTTCCAGATTTATATGATTTTGTTAAGACTCGGATTTATTTTATTATAATTCACCAACAGCAGGTAGAAGGTCTTTTTAACAAATTAGACTTAAAACCACATCCAAACATGACACTATCATTAAAGCAATCAAAACTTCAATTATCCTCAAATAAAATTGCTAAAGAAAATTATTCAGATGGATTAAACGAAATAAGAGCAAAGAGAAATGCAACAAAGAAAATTCCCCTTCAAGAAATTCAATTACAACAATTTGGATCTGGGATTGCTTCAGAACTTTTCAATAAATTATTATGTTAACATTACTGTTACAAATGTTTTTAATTTTATTGCATTGATAATATAATATTACTGCTTAGATATTTATTTAGTATATTATTGCTACAATTTACGATAAAGATACCTTAATTATTACATAATCAAGGATCGACATTTTTGTTTCACAAAAAAATTCGATAATAAGTTTTTATATGGTACCACATATAGTTTTGATTTACTTAGTTGACTGACCACCCCAACGTATAGTGGTCAATGTATGGCAACGTCCGGTATACATCACCTACAGTATACACCACCCCACCCTACAGTATGGTAAAAATGACCATACATACCGTACGTTGATCACTATACAGACATACATAGGCCTCTATACATGACATGTTTCCGTCGTACCCGGTTGAAAATGCACCAATTTCTAAGGGAACGTAAATAATAAAATACGTTTACCGGAACACCCAATAAAATGTCCCTAAAAAAATTAGTTTATTTCACGACGAATGTTTTATTCGAAATTAATTTGTTTTATTGTATTTTAATTTTTATTGTTTTTATTAATTTTTATTCGATTCAGATTAATTTTCTTGATTGAAAAAAAAAAAAAATAAAATAAAAATTATCGATGACTATGACGAACGAATGATGTAAAGCAAAGCCTCTAAAAAAAGGAATATGCCTTCTTTTGATGCTATGTTTCGTTATACTAGCAACGGTTATGGGCTGATCTTTACAATTGCACTTAATTTGCGCGTACGTTAGCGCACAACCGCATTTACCGTGATATTCATACAATAATATTTTTCTTTTCAATTGTTTTTTTTATCTCAAGACTCATTAGAGAAGGGTGATTACGATTATACCTGGTTTTTTTTTTTAAAGTCATTCGTTAACATGTTGGGCTGTGCAACACGAGGCTTAAATTGCTTATTTAGTTTATTTAGTCAATTTCAGATCACAAAATTTGTTTATACTAAGCCTTTTTTTATACTTTTTCTCATTAAAAGAAAAATTCGTTCTATTTGATCAAAAGGTTTTACGCCACAACATATAAACATCCGATTTTATTAACGGGAAAGGCTTATTTTCTAATTTGATATTTGACTTTTTTTTGATATTCATGGCTAATTTCTATTTAGGTCTGGATCAATTGAACAAAGCCCTTGTTCGATTGATCTTTTTCAATCATATATTTTTGTCAACAAGCCATAATTGGCTTGTTAAATAATTAAATTATTAAACGGAACGTATTTCGGTTATTATAAGCCATTAAAAAAAAAAATTGATTTTAATAAATTCTTTAATCTATTAGCGCGAAATATTTATAACAATATAATTATAATGAAATAATTATAATAATATATATCAACTTTATTGAAATTACGCGTATTCAATATTTCATTTAAATTGATTAAAAACGGTAAAGTCTTAATTTGATTTTCCGGAATAAAAAAAAAAAATATGAACCCAATTAAACGAATAATAATTTGATTAATAATATCAAAAGAGTGGCTTTAAAAGATTATCGATAAATTAATTTTTAAGGGTTAATAATTGAAATTTCAAAGCCTAAAAATCATTTATAGGGATAAAAATATCATAAAATTAATTTTAAATTAAAAGAAAAGAAAAGAAAAAATTTATTATTTCAAAGCCAAAAGATCTAAGTGTGGCGAATTTTTTTTTTTAAACGTTAAGGCTAAACACAGCCTACTGATCAATTAACGGGTATTAATTTATTTACGTTTATTAATATCCTTTCAACAAATATAAAAGAAACAACAAATTGCGTTCCTATTTTTCCAACTTTCTTTTCAAAAAAAGAAAAAAAGAAAAAAATTCACTCTAAAACCTAAATAAACTTCAAATCACACAATCAAATTTACCTTACAAAATGTCGAAAACCTCCTTCATTATTGCTATTTTTGCTTTGGTTAGTTTGATCTTTGTAGGATTAACTCAATCCACTCCATTGGTTCCATTAGAAAAACGATTCTCTGGAACTGGAGCCGTCGCTTACTGTGATTTCGGTGATAAGGTCACTGGACGATTTACCTGGACTAATATTCCTGGAAACAAATGTCGGGTTATGGGACAATTTAATACTGGTTTGGAAAGTCCTGACGTCAATGAATATTCATTCTTCTTGGAAGATGACAAAGAAACTAAAGTCCATGATCTTACCGAAGAAATTGCTTCCCAAATCCATATTAACCCACCAGGTGCTTCTCCTTTCCAATGTGATTTCCCTTTCTCATTAACATCCGTTAAAGATGTTACAGGTTTATGTTTTGTTGTTAAACATAAGGGAACGACTCTTTCCAAAGGAATAATTGTGGGCGTTTAAATTAGGATAAAGATGTGACGTAAAATTTGTTAATAGAAATCTTTAGATTATTAGAGAATTTTTTATTTATTTATTTATTTAATTTTATTTATTTTTTTGACTGTAAATATATATGAGTATAGAAGCAAAAGTAAGATTTCTTTTTCGTCACAACTTTTTTTAAATAAAGATTTGCGTACTTTTTGTATACAATAAACCTTATAAGCATTAATATATATATATATTAAGTAATTACGAAAGATGACGCCAAAGTCACTAAACAAATCAGTAATTTTATACAAGTTACACGGATTACACATATTTGAATGACATACCTTAAAAATCAAATTATTCAAAGGTAAATTACCGGCAAAATTATATTAAACAAATATGTGTTTATAACAAATAGTATTTAGCGATCAATTATACGGTCTCGTTCATTCCAAATAACTTCTTTTTGTAGACTTGGCAATATCGCTAAAAAAAGAATTGTAAAAGAAAAAAAAAAGATAAAAAAAAAAAGATAAAGATTATCTAAATTAAAGAATATTTAATATATCGGTAAAAGGAATATAAGTCACACAAGTCACAATCGTCACATATTCCCATGGCAATATTATACAATATTACTAATGATTTAATATTATCAGTTTAAAAAATGATTACGTATTACCTGCTCATGAAAATATTTATCAATGAATTACCGATAAAACTGCATGCATATACTAAAATGTAACCATTTATACAAACATTCGACCAAAATTATGGTAAGTACAACAGGTAGTAAACAAGTTTTATTGAGGAGATGAAATGATCATTGTCTTACCAAAACAAATGATGCCAATGATTTTTACTTTCCATTATTGAATAGGAAAAAATAAGTCATTACCTTACTTTATTGGAAAAAATATTCCTAATAAATAACAGATTTATTTCAAAATTCGGTCCGTAAGATAATAAAATCTAAGTAATATTTTAAAAATACATTTTAAGAAGTTTATTTAAAGTAAAAAAAATTGACTTTTTATAGGATTTGATTTAAAAATAACATCAACACAACATTTTAGAACTCCGAGTGTTACCTATTATTCCAATTCAAAAATACTTATAAAAAGGAGATAAATTCAATTTCTAATCGATTAAAAAAAAAAATTCTTTACCTTTTACAATTCATTAATAATGATCACTAAAAGAGCCATTTTGATCCTTTTCCTTTTCGCTGCGCTCGTTTCTTCTATTCCACATCCTAACCTTCAAAAACGAGAGAAACTTGGATTCGTTGCTACTGTATTATTTAATGAAAATGACATTAAAGGAGTAGCAACATTTACTCAATTTAGCTCTAAAGTTTGTAGAGCTACAGTCCAATTTAATACAGGATTCACTTCATCTAATGATGACATCTATACTTTCAAAGCCGGTAATCATGATATCACCCCCAATAATTTTATTGTTAAACCTCCTGGTATTGCAGCATTTAGAAAAGATTTTACTAATTTCAAATGTAATTCTCTTGTTGGTAAAAAGTTTACTGTTAAACGTGGTAATAAAGTAATTGGTGAGGAAGAAATTAAAGAAGCATAATTTAGCATGATTACGTGTGATGTGGTGGGCAGGAAATATTAGCTATTCTATTATATATATTTATTTATTTATATTTATTTATTTTTAATGTTTTTGTTTTAATGTTTTTTAACAATGTTGTATTATAAAATTTTTATTAGTACTATAATATGTCTCCAAGTAAATAAAGTTTTTTAATCCATTCAATTCGACACTTTCTGAAAATGGAATCAATTCGTGTGAATATTGAGTTACTTTCAAATTATTAATTCGGTAGGACCCGGATAAATTAGATCTTGGCAAAATATACTGCCAAGAAAAATGGCAAATTTAAAAATAGTTCATGTTTATGCCTTAATATTGTTGTTTTCCTCTCATGATATTATTCTTTTTAAATAGAAATTTCTAAAGTTTAATTAAACTAAATTAATATTCATGTAAGTGATCTTTAATAATCGGGAGATTGGAAAAAAGATTAGAGTCACATGATTTACTTGGCACCCACATCGTGTTATAAGGTATGTCAACATTTTCAAAAATTAATAAATTTATATGTTAGAATACTACTAGATAAATCTTTAGAAGATTTGAATCTCAGTAATGCCGATATCAAGACTTCAACTATTATTAAAATAAACCTGTTACGTCTCTAACTTGAAGTTACTGTATTTATTTTTGACCAAAATTTTTTTACAAATTTTGGTAAGAATATTGAATTTTAATATTTACCATTTGTCTTCTAATATTGATACTGTACTTTGATTATGAAAACTACTGCATGATTAGATTGCTTCAATCAAAATCGCTAAAATAACAAGAAACACTTCTCATCTAAAGAATATATATTATAGTGAATAATCGATAAATTATTTGAATAAAGTACTCATTAAATTATTTTAGCCATCATCATAATTTTTAGTAGTTCGAAAGCGATTTGAACAATTTTTGAAATTATTAAATACAGATGAATCGAATTACTTTACTCCAATAAGTAACTTTACCTAATAAATTGATGTCAATAAATTTAATTAATTGTCAATGAAGGAAAAATGATCAAAATATGCAATTTGCGAACTACTTTAGAACCGAACCGGTTTCGAACCCGATTCCTAACAACTAAAAATATTAATAGACAAGTTGAATGGCTTAGCTTCATAAATTAAAAGATTATTATAAACGAGATTTACTAATATTATAATAAGAGAAAATGATACTCAAACCAAGCACTTTCAATAAACCAATTTAATATCCACTAATAAATTTCTTTAATAAATCTATTCAATTGAAATATTTTTTTTCTCAGTAAACTCAACCTTGTTATTGAACCGTAATTAGAACGAAGTCCTAGTACTATATTAATTTTATGTTGAGAAACAAAAATATTTTAAAATGCTGTTGCCGTATTAGAAATTTAAAACTTCAATTGTTTCATAAAACCCACAATAATTTACCTAATTTACCTATATCGCACTTTACACTTAACAATTTATATTAAGCGATATGTTTATTAGCGAAGTCACATGAAACATTATCGGTTCATCCTTATAATAAACTTGAACGTAGTATAAATTTGGCTAAAGTAACAGCTTTAAGTAAGTAACATGTTTAAACTGCGAATTCAGAAATTCTAAATGAAGTTAACAAATCTTTAAATTGATTACTCGTAAGTGCATAAAAATAAGCTGAGGTCTTACGTAATTATTTGTATTATAATGATCTCACGATATTATCGAAACATTTTATACATAAAAATTAATGAATTCTTTCTTTAATCCTTTCAATTCTTTCTTAATTCATACAAAATATACAAAATTTGTACGTTATAAAAATGGATTATATTGACTATATGTTAAACCATTCTACTTTTACGAATCAAGATTCACAAGATTCGCTAGATTCACTAGATTCACAAACAATTCTTAATGATAAACTTTTCGAATATCAATACGATGGTATTTTTAAATCGTTTTAATTATATTTTCGTGCTTTATTTGCGAAACTTATAAATCATATTATTTATAGATCTCTTGTTCGTAAATAATGAAGATGCATGTTCAGACGTTTATTCAGGTTATCAAACTGACGGTATGTTAATTTTAATTGTACACCATATATAACCTTGATATAATTTACCCTTTTTACTTCTTTTATAGAATCTATGGCAACCGAATATGGTTCTGCATTTGAAGATGATGATGATAAAATTGATCTCACGCAAGAGGAATGTTGGGAAGTTATTTCTTCATTTTTCAAAAATAAGGGTATTATCCGACAACAATTGGATTCTTTTGATGATTTTATTGAGCGTGGTCTTGTTGAAGTTATAACTGAAAGTCCAATACAAGTGATAAGAAATTCTGATATTGAAGATGAACAAGAAACTATTGTTTGTTTCAATAATTTATGATTTTAAGAAATTTTGTTTTTTTTTTTACTTTTTTAAAAAAGATTTTTTGATAAATAATTACTTTCTAACGAATTTTGTCGTTAGACTCAATATCGTTTCGAATTTGATAATCCATCATTTACTAAACCTCAATTTACCGAATCAGAGGGTGTTAAAACACAATTATTTCCGAATGAAGCTCGCTTAAGGGGCTTAACGTTAGTAATCAATTAATTTTTATCTTATTGATAATAAAAATAATTAATTTACATGAAAAATCATTATATTGTGTCATTAAAAGAAAATTTCAATAAATTTTATTATTTATATAGGTATTCAGCCCCACTTATTTTAGACGTGAAACTTTTTGTATCCAAATTAACCGTAAATAACTTTAATTACAATGATATTGATTTTAAAGAAAGTGAAGAAATTTTGATTGATGAAAGAGCATTTTTGGGAAAGGTCGACTAATTTATCATCCAAATTATAAATATATATATATATTTATTATTAACCATGATTATTATTTAAATAGATCCCCGTTATGGTACATTCTAATTTTTGTTCTTTAGCTGATTTAACTTTTGAGGAATTAAAAGATCATCACGAATGTCCATATGATCAGGTTCGATAAAAATTATCATTCTTTTTTAATTTGTATAACATTTTACTTAGTTTAAAATATATTTAGGGTGGTTATTTTGTCGTTAACGGTTCCGAAAAAGTTTTAATAGCTCAAGAAAGACTGGCTAATAATTATGCTTATGTTTTTAAGCATGCTTTACCAGCTATCTCATACAGTGTAGAATTTCGTAGTACTAATGCGCATATGTCAAAAATTAGAACTGTTAATTTGAAATTGGTTACAAAAACTTCAGCAGGAGAAGTTAGTAATACATTTATTTATATAATTTTTTTTAAAAGTCAATATATAAATATTTATTTATATAATTATTATCTCTTTTTAATTAGAAATCTGGACAATATATACATGTCAATTTACCTTTTATTAAAAAAGATATTCCAATTAAAGTTTTATTTGTTGCTCTTGGAATTCTTAATGATGAAGAAGTTATTGATTACATGTGTTTTGATTCTAATGATAATGAAATGTTCAATATTATATTATCTTGTATTGAAGAATCATGTACAATTCGATCACAAAATGTATATTTACTTATTTTACTAACAAAACCACATATGTTTACCACAAGTTTTACTTATTTGAAATTCTTTAATTCTATTTAATACTTTATAGCTTGCGCTAGATTATATTGGACGCAGAGGAACAGTAGCTAATGCAGCTCGTGAAAAACGAATTGAGTATATATTTATTTAATTTTTAAAATAAATAAATAAATATAATAATAATTATATTAATTTATAGGTACGCAAAAAATATTATCCATACCGAATTTTTGCCTCATATTGGAGAGGGAATAGGTTTCAATTCGAATAAAGGAATTTTTTTAGGATATCTTGCACATAGACTTTTATATTCTGCTCTTGGATATCGAGAAATTGATGATCGAGATCATTTTGGCAAAAAACGTCTTGATATGGCCGGTCCTTTGATGACTTCATTATTTAGTATTTTATATAAGAAAATGGTAAATGAAATGATTATGTACTTAAGAAAGGTAAATAAATAAAAAAAAAATTTTTTTTTTGATATAATAATTCTATCAACCATGTTCATTAATTATTTTTCCTTGAATAGTGTATTTTAAGTAATCGCGTATTCAAATTACCTTTAGCGATAAAATCAGATCACATTACTAATGGGTTCAAATATTCAGTTGGTACTGGTAATTGGGGAGATTCCAAAAAAGCAATGCAGGTAAATAGTTAAAATTTTCTATAAATAATAATAATAATAATAATAATAATAATAAATAATTTATTTCTTTATCCAACAGTCCAGATCTGGCGTTTCACAAGTTTTAAACAGATTTACTTATGTGTCAACTATATCACATCTTCGAAGATGTAATGCCCCACTTGGACGTGATGCAAAGATTACTAAACCACGTCAACTTCATAATACACAATGGGGATATATATGTCCTGCTGAGACCCCTGAAGGACAGGCATGCGGCTTAATGAAGAATTTAGCATTGATGTCATATGTCTCAGTATCTATGCCACCTGATTCATTAAATGAATACATTAATAATAGTGGAATTTGCAAAAAAATCAATGAAACAACATTTGATAATATTGCTAAATTAACCAAAGTTTTTGTCAATGGAAATTTATCATGTATTACAGATGAACCTTTAGATTTAATACGATTAATTCGAGACAATAAAGGAAACTCCCTTCCAGCTGATATTGGAATTGTTAATGATGTCCATGTAAATGAAATAAGATTTTATTGTGATTCAGGAAGAATGTGTAGACCATTATTCGTCGTGAACGATCAACATTTGGCCTTAACTTCTTATGATTTATTCAAGTTAAAATCGGTAAGTTATAATGAATTCATCTTTTTTAGAATATGCATAATATGATATATAAATATATATGTATAATATACATGCAAAATTATAATTCATTATTATCACATATAAAAGGAAATTGAACAAGATAAAAAGTATAATTTATGGGAAGAATTAGTAGCAAATCATTATATTGAAAATATTGATGCTGAAGAAGAAGAAACTACTATGATATGTATGTCTCCATCAGAATTATATGAGTCAAGATTATATAATTTACGTAAACTTGGAGGTTTAAGACCAAGAAAGAAAAGAAGATCAGTTCATGAACGTTTAATTAATTTACCAACTTGTCCAAATAAGTGGACTCATTGTGAAATTCATCCAAGTATGATTTTGGGTGTTTCTGCTAGTTTAATTCCATTTCCTGATCATAATCAGGTAAAATAAAGATAATTGATATCAAATTCACGTAAAAGAAAAAAAAAATAATAATTATTAAATTTTAATTTTATCATAACTTTGTAACTAGTCACCTCGAAATACCTATCAATCTGCTATGGGTAAACAAGCAATGGGAGTCTATACGACTAATTATCAATTACGAATGGATGTATTGGCCAATGTGTTGTATTACCCTCAGAAACCTCTTGTAACCACAAAAGTCATGAAATATCTTCAGTTCAGAGAATTACCCGCAGGAATCAATGCTATTGTTGCTATTATGTGTTATGGTGGATATAATCAAGAAGATTCTTTGATTATAAATCAAAGTAGTGTCGATAGAGGATTGTTTAGAAGCTTTGTTTATAGAAGTTATGTTGACTATGAGAAGAAAAAGGTATAGCAATTAATTAATTTAATTTTATTGATGATTTTCATTTAAGAAAAAATTTTTTTTTTTTTTTTTTTATTAAAAAAGTCAAACCCGACATTTTTTAATTAAAGAAAAATTTTTTTTTTTTTTTTTTTAATCAAAAAAATAACGTAGGGTATTTTGAATATGGAAGAAATAATGAAACCAAATTCTTATACAACTGTTGGATTAAAGCGTGGAAGTTATGAGAAACTTGATAATGATGGAATTGTACCTTGTGGAATTAGAGTTACTGGAAATGATATTCTTATAGGAAAAGTAACCACACTTTCGTCAGAAGTTGAAATGCTTGGCCAACGAAAAGAGTCACATATATATCGAGATGTTTCTACACCGTTGAGATCTACAGAAAATGGAATTATTGACCAAGTAATTGTTACCACAAATCAAGATGGAGTTAAAATGGTAAAGGTTAAAGTTAGAAACACAAGAATTCCAGAAATTGGAGATAAATTCGCGAGTCGTCATGGTCAGAAAGGAACAATTGGAATCACTTATCATCAAGAAGATATGCCATTTGCTGCTAATGGTATTACACCTGACATTATTATAAATCCACACGCTATTCCTAGTCGTATGACAATTGGACATTTGGTTGAGTGTTTAATGGGCAAGGTATGTAAAAGGAAAAGTAAAAAAAGGGATGATAATTTGGCCTGATTTTACTGATTTTAACAATTTTAACATACGATTTGTAAATATAAAGCTATCGGGTTTAACTGGTAACGAAGGGGATGCAACAGCCTTTAATGAAATTACTGTAGAATCGATTTCTCGAAATCTCAAGTCCATGGGATTTCATCATCGTGGATTAGAAGTTATGTATAATGGTCATACTGGACGTAAATTAGTTGCACAAATTTTCATCGGACCAACATATTATCAACGTTTAAAGCATATGGTTCAAGATAAAATTCAGTAAGTATTTGGACATCAAAATATAAAATAAATAGTGAATTTTGTCTAAATTAAATTGAATAAATAAAATAGCTCCCGCGGAAGAGGTCCAGTGAATATAATGACTAGACAACCTGTTGAAGGACGTAGTCGTGAAGGAGGATTAAGATTTGGTGAAATGGAACGAGATTGTATGATCTCACATGGTGCAGCATTATTCTTAAAGGTATTTTATTTTATTAATAATTAGTAAAATTTTTATTTTCTTTTTTTGGTTAATAATATTTCATTCATTATAGGAACGACTTAATGATGTTGCGGATGCTTATAGGATTCACGTGTGTGATATTTGCGGTCTAATATGCATAGCACAAGTTTCGAAAAATGTTTATAGTTGTAAAATTTGTAAAAATTCCACTCGGGTAAGTAAAATAAAAATAATGATAATATACTGTATTTTGCGGTATATAAGCACCCCTTTTTTGCACCTAATACCGGCCAAGATCCTCATAATTCTGCCCAGTGATGTTTATTTTCGGGGGGTGCTTACTAACCGCAAAATATGGTGTCTTTTTTTTTTTAAAAAAAAAAAATCATATTTTCATATTTTATCTGTTTTTTATAGGTTTCTCAAGTACATGTTCCATACGCTTGTAAATTACTTTTCCAAGAACTTATGTCGATGAATATTACCCCAAGATTAAAGCTTTTATAAATCCGCATCATCGTAATATCTTTGATCTTATCGAAGAAGTTATTTTGTTGTCTACATATCTTTTAAATGTGTATTTAAATTTTAATAAGGTTGAAAAATTCTTGCTTAATATAAAATTCAAGAGTATTATTTGAAGTATGTATTGTATAATAAACAAAGACGGATGCTAATTTAGAGAATTCTGCGAAATAAATAATTTTTACTATATTTTCTTATAAAATTTTCAATTTTATAAAATTTGATATAATGGAAGTGATACAAAATTACTTTATTGTATTACACACTTAATTTCAATTAATTTAATTGTAATGCAGAATCAATAAAAAATGAATATAACAACAGTAGCAAAATTTTCTGAATAATTTTTTTTAAACAGTATTATGAAATCTTCGACCTCAGTTATTAATGTGGCTGTGTGAACCACGCCATTGCCGACATTTAACTACATGATCCGCCGATATTCGGATAAAATATGGTTAACAGTTACGTGTAGTAAAACTATTGTAATTTTTGTTGCTCTCCTTTCCATGATGCTAATAAGTACTTGAAATTTTTGTATAGAAAAAATTGGATATTGTTTGCAATCGCTTTTTGCAAAATGCAAATGCGTAGCCACAGCCGAAAAACAATTATAATTTCTTCGCTAGTACTTCCAATACATCAGCTTCTAAATAACGAGGCTTAATGAGAAATTTTTATATCGAGTTCACGAGTAAATTACCACCACAAAGCCAAAATTAGTCAAATACGGTCAACAGTACGAGAATTTTTTTTTCGTGATGTGATTTAATGCAAATCATTTTAATCATTTATTATGAATATTGCCATATTAGTCAAAATGTATGAGTTTTTGATTGTATGCACCGTGATTACATTATAAAGAAAAAAAAAAAATACTATGATTAACGAGTTTGATTTTGGAAATGCAGGGTTTTATGTTGGCGTGTTCGTGCGACTAGCAGACTACTATATTTATCATTTACTATTTTTAATTTATATGATATACATATTAATACTGTATTAATATACTTGTCACAGGCTTTGGCGTTAAATTTAGGGGACTGTAGGTCAGCCATGGCACCTAATAGAGTTGTCATAGAATTCTAAATAAGTAAAAATGATTGTCAAAAAAAATTGAAATCAAATTTCCTAATTTGGAGTCTCGGAAAAAAAATACACGTTTTTTATTAAAATAATTTATTTACAATATCCAATTATCGAGTTATCGAAGAAATAAATATTAAATACAAAAAAAAACATTAAATACATTAAATACATTAAACTGTTAATATACCCTTTGTTACCATAACCTCTGCTTTCTTTAAATAGATTTTACTATCGTCATACTAACGATACCTTTTTTATGATGACTTATTTCAAAAAATTGGTCAACAATTTTACTAATAAGTAATTTATCAAAATCATGTTGAAAAGGAGTAGTACCAGTTGAGTTAACACTCCATTTATTTAAACCATCGGTTGTTAAGTCATATATTAATATTTTTGATCTATCAACAATTTTAAATTGATAATTTGCAGCTACTTTATCAAATATCCCTGAATCTAATTTACCACTAACATTTGTTTTATTCTGTGAAGTTTTAGTAAACTTTATTTGACCTGTTACCGCCGTTGAACTATTTGATGGATTCGTGAATACTGCTATTGCTGCTGATGGTGATGATGAGGATGAGGAGGAAGGTGCCGAGGTTGTTGGAGCTGATGTTGCAGCTTTTTCAATATTTTCAAGGTCAAATTCAGGTAAAGATATTGGACTTGCAATTACCAAAAAATAAATTAAACATATAGGAAATATCGTGAAAATTTTATTATATCTCATATTATTAAATTTCATAAAAATTGGATTTTTGGAAAAGATAAAAAGATTTTTAGCTCGGTTGTAAGATATATTTATACTTTTTTTTCAATTGTTTTTAGTTTATAGTGATGCAATACTATTTTAAATATAGATCAACACTTGATTACGTAATTACCAAATTCGATCACTTTGAATAAAACGCTTTAAAAAGTCCCCTTTGCTTAATTTGGGTTGGTATACTATTAAAGGTTCGTTCCGTTTGGCTTAGACATAAAAGCCACTAATCGAACAATATCTAGAAATTTTCATAAACTAAAAAAATTTTTTTTTTTTTTTTTAATAAAAAATTGGGTTATTTTGTTATTTTATTTATTTTTACCTTGAAAGTTATATACAATGAAATCTTTCCCTACAAAGATTAATAAGGATTTCGTTATAAACTTTTGTTTTCTCGTTTCAAGAATATGCATAAATGAAACATTTATGCATTACTTAATATAAATACTTTCTGATCGGAAATTGATTGAGATATCATTCGATTCTTTTGATGATCCGGATAAGTTCGGATCGATCCGAGTGATGTGTGTGAATACTGTGTGAATTTATATCAAAATTTTTAATTTTATTACCATAAGAAGTTTTTGATCGGTCTAACTTTTCTTCATACTCAAATGAGAGACAATCACCAGTGGCAAAATTGACCATGAAATTTCGGGGATTTGTTGGATAAAATTCACATTAAAATTCTCTCCTCTGACGGATGTCTGCCAAAAATCACCTGATTTTGGTAGTGGTAATATAATTTAGGCCAAGAAAATGAATTTAGCCAAAATCATGAAATAAAATTATAAAACACATAAAACACATGACATATATGGTCAATTATAGTGCTGGCCAAATTATGCTTACTAGACTTATATTATTATATAGTATATTAATTTATTATTATGTTACTAATTAACTTAAATTAAAGTTTGTAATTCATACTTTATATTGGAAAAAAAATGATATATATATTTGAAAAACTTATAAATATTATTATAATTATAAGTTAAATTCTATAAAAATTAAAAGTAAAATATAATCTTGATATTATGATTTCCTAAAAATTAGTTTTTATAATAACAATTAGATAGTTAAGATAATTAGACTTATTTTGCTTTTATTTACTTTTAATTAGTATTTTATTATTAAATTTGAAATTTTAAATTTAAAAGAAAAATATTGATATCTATTCATATATAAATGAAATTTTTTAAAATTAAATTATTACTATAATTATTATAATTATTATACTTTTTAATATAATACTTTGGAATATAATATAAAAATTAATTAAATAATATATATAGTAGTATTTTTTTAAATATATGTCTTTTTTTATAAAAAGTTATATAGTTTAGATTTTTTACTTTAGGTAAAAAATAGTAAAAAAACCTTTTTAATTTAAAAAAAAACATTTTTTTGAGGTAATTGCTAAATATCACCAGTGGTGATTATTATCACATATAAAATATTTTTTGAATTTTCAAAATTTTTGACTGAAATATTATTCCATTTAATTATAATGTGGTAGCTGTCACCTATAAATAACAATAGTCCAAAATTTGAAATTTTATTTATTTATATTGTGCAACTTATTTTTAAAGTACTTTGTTAAAATATTAATTGCTGCATAAGTGGCAAAATTTTTTTTGGCATATTACATAGAATTTTTGTGGATTTCTATAAAATTTTTGTAAAATCCATACAAATTACATGAAAACTAGTTTGAAATTTTATGTTTTTATTATTGCTACTTATTAAAATCATCCAACTTTAACCTATAATATTAATAAAATAACCTGATAGAAATGTTCAATACATGTTGCTCTATCATTTTATTGGTTTAGTTTTTTCTTTTTACTATTCAATTTAAAATTTATAAAAATTTGAAATTATATAATATTAGTGTGATTTATAGGTGATAGCCACCATATAAATATCATAAATTTATAAGTAAAATAATGCAAATTTTCCTTAGATTATAAAAGCTGTTGTTTAGATAATTTTTGAAAACAGGAAAGTTTGATTTTATAAGTAAAATATAATTTTTTGTTTTAAAAAAGATTTTATTAGTCAAGTTTTCAAAATTTTAGTGTGATTAGTATTTACTCAAATTTGTTTTATATATTTATTATTTAAATTAAAATTTTTGAAAAAAATTTATAATATGTTTTTTAATTTTAGCCAAAATTATAATTTTTGACTAGAATTAAGTGGTGTGATTATAACTTTTCTAATTGTAATTATATAATTAAAATTGATGAAGTTTTATTATAAGAAATTTATACTCAAATTACATGAAAAATCACAAAAAAAAGACTCCTACTTTCCACTCACCAGTCAGCGAACACAAGTCTTTTATATAGTTTTTTGCCTCATAAAAGTTTCATTACATGTCAATTATTATAGTATTGCGAAATTGACTTAATTTTCCATTATAAAATTCTGTTATTACAATTTTCAATTAAAGTAATTGAAATCATAAAACTTTAATAAAAAACATACCTATTATTTATTCCTTGGGCATTTTTTCTGATAGTAACCAAATTTACCACACAATAAGCATTTACGCTGTTATTTTATAGGCTGAACGTTACTTTTGTCAGCAATTTCTTGCATTAGAACTCTTTTTTTTGATATTTTCATTGCACTTCTTAATCTTTTTTTTTATAGAACCCCTTTAACTTTAGTCACACAAGAACTGGTAATTTGTTCAATTAAATTTTTTTGTAATGGAACTATATTATCATTTTCTTGATTAGACCCATTAATTTCTACTATATCATGATTAACATTGTCATTATTATCTACATTTTTTTTTCGTTTTGCTTCAATAAAATCTTTCAATAATTGAATTAATTCACGATCACTATTAGTTTCTAATGCAATATTAACAGCAGTTTTTGCTATAGAAAATGCTATTCCAAATCTATTTCGTTGATTAGTATTTTGACAAATAATTTCATTATTATCAGACCTTTGAATATAATGTAAACTTTGAAATGTACATGATGTAATTTGAGATAATGTTGAAGTATCAGTAGTTGTTTCTATTGCTGTAAGAATTAGAAAGTTTTTAAGATTAATATTTAAATTAGTTAAAATACTGTTCTTATACCATCTAACAGATATGATGATAATATGGAACTTTGCTGAATTTGAATATAATATTACTTTCCAGAAATGTTGGCAAATTATACCTTTTGTAATTGTTTCCAAACAAATACAAAGGTGGTTTCATCATCCAAAAGTATTACTATATTATATTTACATGAAAGGCTACCTATACATCTTATTTTCCATATTTCAATAATATTTGAAATTTCAATACCACTTAAAAGAGACTTTATAGTTATTTGTAGTTCATCAATAATGTCTTCAATAAAATTATCACTGGCAGTTTTAATATCTAAATTCTATAAGATTTATATAAAAAAGAATCACATGAAGATACGAATCATATGATCGATCTATTAATTAGTAACGCAACTTATATAAATATTATGAAGTTACTATTAATTTTAATAAAATGATAATTATCTCATTTAAAGATGATATCAAAGTAATCAAATAACCTTCATAAATGAATGATTGAGAAATTTGAAATTTCTGCTATGATAATACAAGAGACGTCAAAAAGTAATTAAGAACTATATCAATACTGGAAAAAATTTGAGATGATAAATGTGGAAGACCAACTGTTATTTGATAAGCTTTAAGGTTGGCTAATTTACAATACTGAAATTCGTCTTCATGTCTTTTATCAATAGTATTTTCAATTTTACAAAGATTGCTTGCACTATTTAATGTCTTTTTGATAATTGCATTAAATGACTCTACACTTTGTGTGGATTGAATACTTATATTGAATTGAAATGATGTATAGGCTTTGACCCAGCTACTTCGATTAGGATATAATACTTTAGTCATATATTGATGACTTTCTGGAAATTCATCCATCATAGATTTCTACTGTTGTTTAAATAACTTTATACTTAATGTATTTCTACATAAGTAAAATGATTTACTAAATGAACGAAATTTTGTATTCAGTTTTACTTTAAGGTGTTTGGTAATATTTTGCCAAATATGAAAAAGGCAATAAAAATGTAATGTCATTGGAAATATATAAGTAGCTGCATTAATCAATCCTGGTTCTGAATCTGTCCAAAATGCTTTTAACACAGTATTGTTCGTTGCTTTCATAAGACATTGTAAAATCCATGTATATGTAGACACCATTTCATTCTCAACAAGAGCATTAGCTACATTTTGAAACTTTCCATAATTGTCTTTAATTATAAAAACACTTAAATACATGTTATATTTATTTGTTTTACATATATTATCATTTAACACTACATCATGAAATTGTTGGTATAAATCCTGTTGGAAGGGAGACATCCAGAAAATACCAGACAAACGATGTTCATTTAGTGATACCTGGCTAAACTCTTTTTACCAAAAATTTCAGTTTTGTCACCAACCAGTTTCAGTTTCATTATTAACTAAACTATATAGTAATAATTTTTAAGTTTAAATTTTAATTATATAAAATTATAGTTTTATTATAAAAATATATGAAATTATAATATATATATAATAGTTTTATAAATTTCTTTAAAAAATATTATATTTAAATTTATTATTATTTTTTTTTATAAGTAATTATTATAATTAAAAATCCATGAAAATCTATAAAAAATATATGGAAATACTATGGAATATTGAATTTTGGCATTTCATCTTTTAATTTTAAATGTCTAAACTATTTCGGTTTAGTTAAATGACTAAATATTTCAGTTTCGCCTGGGATCTTTACATTCATTACCTGAATGTTGAATAAATACCTTCCAACCTGAATCTTGAATTATTTTTTCAAGAAAATTGTTAAGTAACGAACTTGTATCAGAATTTTCTTCATTTTTATTTTTATATAAACGGTATATTAAGTTATAAATATCCTGTTTATGGAATACATGTTGTAGGTGTTTTTTTTCAAAATTTCTAACTGTATAATGGGTGCCACCTTGCAGTCTGTAAAAAACTTTAAATCTTGCATCATCTCATCATTAAAATGTCGATATCTAGCATTGAGATGTGCTATTTGTATAGGATTTAATTCATGATTATGTGTATCTACTAATGTTGTACATTTTATCCTATTTTCTGTCTTTAGTAAGGAAAATTATAATGCCATTCACAATTGTTTTTGTTAGAATTGTGTAAATGATGCAAATCTTAATTAATAATCTTACGAGCTTCATAATTATTACCACTAGAAGAATAATAAAATGATTTGCATCAGGTAATAAAACGATTATTTGCATCTTTATCATTATGAATAAGGTTGCTTGCCGAAACCTAGAGTTTAGGCAAGATTGCGTTTCGCCGAAAAGCAAAATTCTGCTGAAACTATATTAAAGTTATATTAAAAAACTGGCGAAACTTTAAAGAAAGGTGAAACTGCTGAAACTTATTATAAATGCCAAAACTGCCGAAACTCTGCCAAAACTATAATAAATCTATAGTAAAATTTTGACGAAACTAATCGTAGGATTTTGAAGAGGTTTAGATAAGCAACCTTAATTATGAAAAACCTGGTATTCAAAGCCTTTTTTTAAACAGTAATTATGCAAAAATGTATCAACTAATGTCTAGTCATCAAAACTATCTCCTATACAGAGATTATATTGATATGAAAAACAGTTTAAGCTGTCATTTAAACCATCAAATAGTTCTGTAAGTTCTTCTTCTAGTTCATTAAACAAGTGTTCAGAAGATTTAGGAGGTGTAATAATGTTTTCTAATACATTTTCTTCTAATTTGTTAAAAAAGTATTCAGGAGACTTGGAAGGTGTAATAATATCTTCTAACACACTTTTTTCATTACTTTCAATAAAAAAATTTGTAGGTAAAATGGTATTTTCAGAAAAATTCATAAAGAAATCCCAATCTATGTCCATTGTGATAAAGGATTTGTTAGGATAAATATCACTGCATTAATTATCACTCCTTTATTTAATATATGTAGAGTACAAATTTTTTATGATGTGCATGGGTGTAAATATATATTTAGTTAAAATTTATATGCTTGTACAATAATTATGTTATACAACATTATGGTAAAAATCACCAGTGATGAAACAAAAATTAAAAATTAATAAAATCACCAGTGATGATTAAAATTTGAATTTTATCACCGGTAAATTCATTATGAAAATTACGGCTAGTAGTGAAAATAAAATATAAAATTAATAAAATTACCAGAGGTAATTAAAATTCGAATTTCACCAGTAGTGAAAATTAAATAAATTTTTTATTTTTTATTATTTTTTTAAGTTTATACAAAACTTTTACTAATAAATATCAGAAACTATTTCTATTTTTAGAATTTTTATTTAAAATTTTTTTATTATTAAAATATATTAAATATTTTAAAAGTTTAAAATAAAAATTTTTTTAAAAAAATTATTTTACTAATTAATATAATTTATAAAAATTTTTAATTTTTAATTAAGAAAAAGTCCTCTTGCCACCTGGGGTGGTAATATGATTTTTGCCACTTCTACTGCATGTGATACTATAACGTCATATAACATGTGTAAATATTTTAAATATTAACGTAACACGTCAAGAATGATACATTTGCCAATGTAACATTTAAAACAAATATGGATAACATCAATTTAAATAAGGAAAACACTTTACCAAAATCTATAGTCTCAAGACAAAACCGTTTAAGAGTTCTTCAAGAGCTTCAGACTAGTGACAATCTAAAGGAGCAAGCACTTGAGTTAAAGGTTGGCTATAAATTTGAGAATTGGGAGCATGTAGACCAAGTTCTACATACATATGCCAAAACAAAAGGTTTTTCCTGAAGATTGCAAAATACTTATCATAGAGTCGATGGAAGCGTTAATAAAAAGGTATTTGAATGCCATCATGCTGGTAAGGTAAAGGAAATAATCCAGATATAACACGAAATACAACATCATCTCGCGTTGAATGTACATGTTATATAAATATTTGTTAGCCAAAAACTGACTCAAATCCAAGAGTAACTACTTTTGAACCAGGGCATAAAAACCATAATCTTAATACTTTAACAGCAATATTCACACCATCATATCATAGTTTGCCTGAGTCAGTAATGAATTGAATAAAGTTTTATATCAATAATTCACCTGGAATGGGCAGCTTTATGATTCAGAATCTTTTAATTGCTGAGTTTCCACAGCAAACATTTCTAGAAAGAGATGTAATAAATGCGATTCAATACTTTAAATAGGATAATTCTCATAGTGAAGTTAATGATTCAGACAATGATGCGTTTTGGCTATTGGAAATGCTTGAAAATCAGCAAAAAGAAGATCCCAGAATGTTTATTGCTAAAAAAATCCATCAAGGGTAAGGTTGCTTGTCTAAACCTCTTTAAAATCCTACGATTAGTTTCGTCAAAATTTTACTATAGATTTATTATAGTTTCGGCAGAGTTTCAGCAGTTTCGGCATTTATAATAAGTTTCAGCAGTTTCACCTTTCTCTAAAGTTTCGCCAGTTTTTAATATAACTTTAATATAGTTTCGGCAGAATTTCACTTTTTGGCGAAACGCCATCTTGCCTAAACCTCTAGGTTTCGGCAAGCAACCTTAATCAAAGGAGGTTATTTCATATTTTTTGGATGGATTCGAATCAACAGGAGTTATATCAGTATTATCATAATGTTATTGTAACAGATAACACTTCAAGAACAAATAAGTACCACATGGCTCTTTGCATCTTTGTTGGTGTTGATAATCAAAACTATACCCGTATTTTTGCACAAGCATTATTATCCGATGAAATATCAGCGTCTTATACATGGGTTTTAGAACAACTTTTAGAAGCAAACAATGGAATCACACCAACTATTATTATTAGTGATGCAGATACAGGCCTAGATGTAGCGTTAAAACCACTTTTACCTTATATAAAACACATCTATTGTATATTTCATATTCGTTAAAATCTGGATCGTCATATGCAAAGCTCTTTGGGCGTCAATTTGGAAGATATTCTGGAAATTTGGCATGTTACTTACCTTATACATAAATCAAACTCAACTCCACATTTCGTGATCCTTTTATATGATCAAGGACATATTTGCACCTGTTTAATGATTTTGAACTGTGGATTAGTATGCCGCCATTTTTTTCAGGTTATGATTCGCAGTCAACAAGCACAATTTAGCATTTCGTTAATTAAAAGGCGATGGTTTAAGTTAGAAACTTATGGAAACGCATTTAATGATTCAGAAAATTCCAGTAATCTGAATATTCAAAAGCACGCATTTATGGATGTAAATGGAAATCTTTCACATATAGATTCATCAACAATTCTAGATGTTCTTAGAGGCAAAGACTCAATGAATGACATTAATATGAAAATCCAAGCGCGGCATTTGTATAGCAATTTGTTTGGGATGGGTCATAAAATTGCACAAATTGCCACTGAAAAGCGATGATTTGATGTTTTAGATGTGTTGAATCAGGTTCTAGATGAATTGTATGATACGGACGAAAGTATTGATAAATCAGATTCAAGGAAAATTCTTAATCCACATATGGTTAAATCCAAAGGAAGGTCACGAAATAAAAGGTTTAAAAGTTCTGTTAAAACATGTAAAAATTCTAGTAAAGGTACTGGTTCAAATGCTTTTATTCAAGATAATAATGGACATGAAGGTGGCAGTTTACAAGGTAAAGAATCAAAGACATGCAGTAATTGTTATGCACCTAATCATAACATTAGACGATGCACAGCATCATGCAAATTATGTAAAAAGGAAGGTCATACTTATTTAAGATGCAAAGGGAAAAATGTAGAACATAGTAATTCTGATTAGATGAAATTAAAGAATTTGCATGTAGATAGTATTGTGTTTAATTTCTAATGACTGTGATTTTATTACAAATTTCTTAACTGTTAATGCAAGTTAATTTAAATATGTTTATTGTAAAGATCTATCATATAAAATTGTATTAAATTTGCAATTAAGACATTAAAGAATTTAAAGTGATAAATAATGTGAAATGATGAAAAAATACATTTTCAAAGTTTTTTTTTTATAATGCTTTATGTATACTATAAGAAAATTTTGTCCAATTAAAATTTGAAAAAAAGGGGGGTGGCAAAAATCAAAATACCACCCCAGGTGGCACGCAGATAACTCCTTTAATTAATTATTAAAATTTAATTAATATTTTATTAAATGTTTTTTATTTTTTTAATGTATTTATAATTTTATTTGATAAAAAAAAAGAGTCACTTTCATATTTAAATATATACAAAGAGACCAAACAAGATTTTGAGCTGATAGAACAAGAAATTACAGAAAAAATTATAAAATATATAAAGAAATATACAAAAAAACTAACATTTCTTTTTCAATTTGAAAAAAACTATCTTTAAATATAAGGATATTACCTTTATAAAACTGAAATTGCAAACCCATTTAAAACTTATAAAAGGACTAATTTCAAATACTATTCTAGCTAACATATAATATTTGACTTTATATATAACTTTAAAAACTAGTCAATATGTGAAATTTTATAAAGAAATGTCAAATACTCAAATGGTTTACAAGTTAATATATTAGAATAGTTATATAGTTTTTTATAATTTTTTTTTGTATAATTACTTGATTTATTTAATGAATTTGTAAATGTATTGTAATTAGCAAAAAAAAATAAAAAAATAAATCTAATATAATTTTATATATTTAAAAACCCATAATCACTCTTGCTAAGATAACAGAATCCTTGGCTAAAATAACTTATTACATATATAGTTTACCTGTTTAGCATAATAGATCATTTGACAGTGTATGCAATACTTAAATAGTATGACAAGTGGTTTATGGATTAATAATATTAGAATAGTTGTATAGTTCTTTACTTTTTTGTATTTTGTATTATTTAGAATTATTTTATAAATAAATCATTTTTACCAATAATATAAAATTTTATTGGTAGTTGTAATTTAAGTAAATGTTATAATAATATATTTTAGAATTAATAATTAATTTAAATAAAAATATATTTATTTACCTTTATTATAATCTAATTAATTAAAAATTAAACTACCATTCAGTTTTCAGTTTATAAAAACAATAATATTAACAGTTTTTTCAAAAAACGGTATTACAATAATTATGAAATATTGTAAATATTATAATTAAATATGAATTATTAATTTATTTTAAATATAAAATTAAAATAACTCATTAATTAAAATTTGATTATCTCTTTTATCAATCCATAATTTCCAATACAATATAGTAGATAAAAGAAATATCAGAACATTAAACCAAGCCAAAGCAGTTATTGATAAATATGATTTACATTTTAGTTGTAATTCCCATGGAATTTCTGATTTTGATGAAAACGGTTGAAGATTTGACATAAAATAACCAGGGCATATTACTTCCGGTGCATAATAGAATGTATATATATTTGTCAAACCTTAGGAAGAATGGAATTAAAAAAGATAAGAAAAGAGTTAGGTGCCAATTAATTGAAAATAAAATGAGTATACCTGCAACTATCCATAGAAGTGAAAAACCACTATTGTAAGAAAAATTATGTAATAAGAATTTGAATAATAAAAAATTAAATATATTATGATTTTACTAACATTCCAAATACAATATCTCTAACAAACGGCCCTTCTCTCCATAAAGTATTAAACTTAAAAAATTGTATACCTAATATTTTAATTTAAAATTGGTAAATATTAACACCTGAGATAAAAAATAAACTTAAATTGTACTTACCTTTAACAATGGTTGTAATTATTATTACAATATAAAAAAATATTTTTATACCAAATAAATTCGACCTATTATCAATCACCATTATATTATTTTATGTTTCAGTCTAAAAAAACAACAAAATTGCACGAATTTTTCATATTACTTTATACTTTGATAATCTTCTATTGATATTCCGGAATTTTGCGTAAATAATGATAATTTCTTATGCTCTGTTATTTCTATTTTAAAGAAAAGATTAAATTAGATAATATGAACAATAAATCATCGAATTCTCTTAACTAACCTAGTGCTATAATAGCTAATGTAACTACAATTGTTAATAATCTTAATGATTTAAATAATATTGGATGTTTATCAAGTCCCATTTTTGATATTCTGATATTAATCTAAAATAATTCCGTTTGAAACAAATTGGTATTAAGTCAAGTTTATAAAAGTTTTGAAAAGTAAATAGTAAATGTAAAATCAACTAATTTGTTTATATACCTCTTATAAGCTGCATCTTTGTATATATCTGTTTAATGCTGATCAATCCTCGAGCAATAATTTCTGTTGTCACATGAAACGAAGGATTCTGTTGGCATCAATCACACCCGATTTAGTCACCATATCCTCCTTTCATTTCTCTTCGAGAAGTCAATAACGCACAAATTATATGTATAAATTGTTATACTATTTGAGAAGAATGTGTTGGAAAATATTAATGACTCTTTTGAACCTAATTGTTTTATTGGTTATTATACTTGAATTGTTAATATTTTCTCTTTTTTCTTCTCGTATAATTTGTATGACTGATTATTTTCCTCCATAACTTTTAGATGGAAGACCGTAATTGACAATACTGAAGAATAATATAAATCGATATTATTTCATGTTGCAAAATCACGCAAGAGGGCGAATAAATAAAATGTATAAACCATGTGAAAAGCTGTACTAGCTGTACTGATTGTCTAATCAGTGGATTTTTCCGATGAAATCAGCCATGTAATAACCCGGCAATCAAGTTTGAACTAGTCTAACTAGTCTCGTTTTTGCACTCGCCACAATACATGTCTATCACTGATCATATGCAAACTTGTGAAACATTTATGTGAAAATTTGCTTATAAATGTAACAATTTTTGTTCCTCTCTTTTTTTCTGTAAAAATTTCTTTAAATGGATCAAACAATTTCAGAATCTTCATCTAAAGCGGTGCTTGACAATACTATTCCATACCTTCCAACAGAATGTCTTCGATACATTCTTTCATTTATTGAAGATGATGATATTCAAACATTACATTCAATCTTATTATTAAATAGAACTTGGTGTAAAAATACAGTTCCAATTCTTTGGAAAAAACCGTTTACGCTTTCACAAAGTAGAGAGCAATTATCACTTGAAAAGATAATTCCAATTTATCTTTCATATTTACCAGATGATTTTCTGGATATTCCTGAAATGCAGAATATTAAACGATGTGTTTATAAACGATCAACAATCTTCAATTACGCATCGTACTTGAAAGAGCTTGATTATAAAAAATTGTATGAAACTATTTCAGAATGGGTGTCTGTAAATAAAATTTTTGAAACTAAAAGTGAGGATATTGATATTGATTTGGCGAGATTATCATTTAAAGAATCCGAAGTATTTATAGAGAATGTTCAGGAACTCGTTGACGATAATTGGGGATCACGTGAATTGGATAATTCGATTATCGACGACGAACAAGATGATTATGATGATGATGATGATGATGATTCAGAGGATGTCCCTATTGAATATGATGATGGTGATTTTGATGACTATGACCAAGAAGATTATTATGAGGAAGAAATGGATGGATTATGGAGTGATCCAGAATATTATAATGATTTAGAGAGCATTGAGATACCGTTTGATAATTCTACAGAAAGCAAAAAATTAATGATCGCCAAAAAAATTTGTTTATATTTAATGAATAATTGCAGTAATTTTGAGAAACTAATTTTGGATACTCGAGGATGGACAAGAAATTTATCAATTGCTTCACGAGATTACATTTCTTTACCTTGTTTTCCTGGAGCGACCGAGTGTTTATCAAATATTACAGAATTTGTTTTAAATGGAGAGTTCGATAAAGGTGAGATATTTAATACGATGGCTACATACTGTAAGAATATTCGTTCTCTCGTAGTTTGGGATACATACCGTAGTGCATCTCACTCTTTAGCGGGTCTTATTAGCGCTCAAAATGGGTTAGAAATATTTACTTGGTGCAGTGGGGGTGAAGATTCTTCACCAATTTTATGGTCCTTCGCAAGTCAAAGTGAGAACCTCATTTGTGTTCAATTGATGAAGGCTTATACCAGAGATCATGAGGCATTTGAAGCTTTAGCAACTTGTAAAAATTTGGAAAGATTGAAGATTTCGGAATGTCAGCTTACTAGTCATCACATGAGAGCGTTGGAGAATGCAAATTTTCCTCGCCTTAAGTCAATTGAAATTAATGATATACATACTTATGAGGATGATCAAGATGAAGAAATCGATCCGCCATCTTTGGAATTGGCGAGTTTGATTCGTAATACAAGTGTACATCTTCAAGAAATAAGATTAAATTTAGAATTGCATTATTATCCCGGAATAATTGAAACCATAGCTATTAATTGTCCAAATTTAATTACATTTTCAGGAAATGTAAGTAGCGATGACCGATTTGAGGAGCTAATAAAATTATTAGAATGTTGTAAAAAACTTGAAAATTTAGTTATTTGTGGAGCTTACTGGAGTAATTTGTTTCACGTTGATGATATGTTACCTCAAATTGGTACTTTAATTCCAGAAAGCCTTAAACATTTAGATTTATCCAGATGGGCTTTTTCTGGAGGTCCTTTGAAAAATTTCTTAAAGGATTGTAATGCCAAACTTAAATTTATGTCTTTACATTGTTATTTCAGTAGTGATGAGCATAGGGCAGCTATTGATGCTTATGCTAAAGAAAAGGGGATCAGGGTAAAAGACTTTCATGTTGATTCACATAATCATGGATATGGAATGACTGTTTGTTACGTTACTGTCACTTTTGATGATATAATTTAGTTTATGGATATTATATATATGTATATATATAGGTTATAGTTTAAAATTATGACGACCAAAGAATTTTTTTGCGAGACTTTTTTTTTGAATATTTATTATTATACTATGAATTAGACAAGATAAATTCATTTGTAATGTAAAAAAATATTAGATAAATACATTATCTTGCTTTGCTTAAAAGCTTCCTATTACAGATTCAAGAATATATAATTGTGTAATCGCAAAATTTTAAATTTTTTTTTAATTATTTAAACGATAAATATTTTTATATTAAATTTAAAATCAATAATAATCCATCGTTCGTCCACGTTGAAATTCATATTTCTCGATTCTCATTTTTCTCCCTTAATAAGATTTTATTCTTAAAATTTAAAACGTATGTAAATCGATATCAGACTATCAGAGGCTAATAAAAAGAAACGAAGCTTCCAAAATCATATGATAAAAATTAAAAAGATTAAAAGACGAAAACTGATACATAAATTGTTTAAAGAAGAGAAGAGAATAAACGATTCATCAATGAGTTGTGTCAACAGAGTTGACCGTTGATTGAATTTTAAAAGTTTTTAGTGAGATGTGAACATGACTCCAGCGTAATTAGTCGTGCCGATATTGGTGACGATCCCTGTTTAGAGGTTCTTGTTTCTTTAAACGACTTCGTATAAATAAAATAATATTAAGAATTCAAGATTAATATATCTTGGCCGGCATTAAGACATTGTTCGTGTAATTGCTGATCGATGACAATTTTAAATTAGAATTTTCAAACGACTGTATGTTACATGTATCAAAATGCAATAAATCTTATCAAAAGAGTGAATGAATTTTGCAGAGTATTTGTGAATGTTTTATTCCTGAATATAAAAGAAATAATATTCTTTTAGAATGTATTAAATTATGCTAGAATTCTATTTATCATCAAAGAATTCATAAATTTTAATATGTAGTATTAGAGAGTCCAATGAGTGTGCAAGAATATGAATTTAAGCTATTTAAATTATTTTCTTTAAGAATAAATATATTTATTTATTATACATAATTAATTAACAAAAATAAAAATATTTATATAATTAAATACAATCGCTAATGATAAATGTCAAATATTTTATAATCAATTAATTAATTTTTATCTCCAATTATCTCGCGTTTATCATCATCATCGTCTTTTTCATCATTTTTACTTCCTTTATCTCCATTTATGAGATTTCGGATTACAATATACAAAGTTACGATTGTAATAGAGAATATCAATATTGTAAGAATGAATTGCATCGACTTCATAATATAATCAATTACAATTCGATATACAAGAGGTGTATTTCCAAAGAATGGTATTAATAAAATAACAACTACGAATTGTACAATCGATATACCTGTCTTCAACCATTGTATCATTCGACTTTTATACGGTTTATATTTTACTATTAAGAAAAAGAAAATCGCTTCCGTGACAAGTAAACCGATAATTTGTGCAATTGCACTTCGTTGACCCAATCCAATGATAATAGCTCGAAGAAAATCATAAGTAGTTGTAAAAACAAAGAACCAAACGCAATTTGAACTTTTATCTTCTTCTTCATGATATTGAGAGTAGAGCGAGCTATAAAAGATGGTATAAGTTGGTTTTTTATATTCATCCCAATTTTCAAAAAAGTATGGTCGCAAGATTTTGTAACCGCAAAAGGCCATTGCACCTAATGACAAGAATGTCACACAAATTACGGCAAGAAAAATAAATAGCCAACAATCTTTGATAAGCGCCAATTGATAGAAGGCAAAAAGGGTTATGGGATAGTAAAATAGTATCAGCTGGATAGTAAGAAAATAAAATATGGTTATAAAAAGTTTGTGTAGTTAATATGAAAACATTGATTCATTATTAAACACTTACTGCACGTATGAATCCACCTTGAATGGAAATGAATAAAATAAGTCAGCTTATATTATTATTCCTACATTGTAAAGCGTTTAGAAAATCTTGACTTACCAAGTATCAAAAGGTGAAGATTGTCCACTGCTTTTTTCAAGAAGGACCATTTCTTCCATAAGCTTGTCTGCAATTTTTTGCACGACCATGCAAACAACCAAATTAACAATACAATAACAAGAGCGACCCCTAACGTGAAACAGAATGAAATAAACGCAATGAAAAATAAATTATAATCTGGAGCATCCAATAGTTTTCCAAAAGATGTAAGTCCAGTCTCTTTTGAAGAAGGAGTGGGCTGACCAATATCTGCGCACGTGCTGTCACTATTATATGCAACGGGACTTTTGATTAAATTTGAACAGAAATTAACCATACGGCATATTCCCCCTCTTACTTGCTCATCTGCAATATTAGACAGATATGAGATATTAAAAACATTATTGCTCGGCAAACCTATTGCCCAACCGAGCTTGGATATTACATCCCGGTAACCATATGGAATACCAGGTAAAGAAATTAGAGCAGTAGTCACGAAAAACTGAGCAACCCGAATAATATCATATATGGATGGAGGATTATTCGAAGATGGTGGATGTTGTGTAATTGGTGTATGTGCTGGAGTTGTAGATTTTGTAGGATCATACGATGCCCCAGTAGGAAACTTTAAATTACAGGATTTTATGGATAAATGCAAAATGTGATGGGACAACAAGATCTCGGTTAGAGAATGTGAGACATGCAGTATAATATTCTTAGTACATACCTTATTCCCACTAGAAGTTGGCTGCAAGTTCCCGCTGGGATCAGAATATGGTGTACTTTGTGAGGTTGGTTGCAAATTTCCATTAGGATCAGAATATGGTGTACTTTGTGGGTTTTCAGGATCTAGTTCACCTTGTGAGCTTGGATGAGTTCTCTGAGTGGAATGATTTTCGTGATTTTTATGTATCTCATCTCTATCATGACTGTCGTGTCCGTCATGTTTTTTATGTATTTCATCTCTATCATGACTGTCGTGTCCGTCATGTTTTTTATGTATTTCATCTCTATCATGACTGTCGTGTCCGTCATGTTGTTCGTCATGTTTTTTCTCACATTCATCATGTTCTTTCTTGCGGTTTTTCGCCGCAATACAGAACACCGCAGCAACCGATCCGCAAATTAACGGAATATTGAATAAATATGGAATCAAATCTGTAACTATACCGTTACAAGAGGTGGTAACACATCCTAGGACTTTACCATTCTCATCTACTACGGATAATGTCAAATAAGCGTTACGTCCCGAAAGTTCACTATCTATATTTACAAATCGTTAATTTCGATAAATAAACTTAAACGTAAAAAGTTATATGGATTAAGATAATATACCTAAAAATTCTTCAGGCAACGAAGTGGTGTAGTTGAAAATAATGGTTGATTGTTCGTATTGAATTTCACATGTATTATTCATTGGACATGGACTAATACTTTCTGCAGTGTGTTTGTTATCCCAATAAATAGATGTTTTCACTAGAGCATCGTATTTAATATCATATTTTCAATATTAAAAATTTTAATCGATTAAAAGTTACATAAAAAATTATAAAAGATTACCAGTAGCACTATTTAAGTCATTCATTGAGGTTTTTCCTTTGACAATAAAATTTATTAATTTGGTATTTTTCATGATAACGAGTTGAATGTTTGTAAATTTCACCAGTCCAATACAGTTCTTGGGTTTTGACGGTGAAAATGTTTTCATTGATTGTGGTCCATACGTTGTGATTGTAACTACTTTTGCATCATCGGTAGTCGTGACAAAAGTAGTAGATGTAATGACTTCTTGTCTTTTTTGTAGCGTCGGTGTAGGTTTCTCACTTATTGGATTTGATAAAACTTGTATCGCGTAGAACGACAAGAGAATTATAACATAAAAAAATAAATTAACACGTCGTAGTCTAGACATCATTACGCTTAAAATCTTTGCAAATATCAAGTTGAATAACTTAAATTATGATAACAGTTCATTGGTATTTAAATGAGAAAAAACATGAAACTGTTTAATTGTTATCTCATGGAATATGGAAAATTATCAGGATATAGAACTCCGTAAAATAGTGATACTTGGCGTTTTCGGTATTTCGGTAACAGATTTTTTATTGGAAAACCATTTGTTTAATTAATTTATCTTGCAATGTTTGTTTATCAACTTTCTGTAGTGTTACAAATAGAAACGATCAAAAGTCACACAAAATTGTGTGTAACGCATAAAACAATAAAAAAAAGATGCGTGTGTTACTAAACTTTTTTAAATCAAACGCCTGATTTGGATATATTTGTAACTAAATCTCTAATTAAGTTATAGCGATCATTTTAATTTTTTGTTTTTCTTTAAATAAAAAAAAAACTTGTCCGTCCGAAATCCGACAAATCCGCAATTCCGTATTAAAATATTCTTTCGTTTGGATCATCTGTAATCAAGCTTTTTTTCGTATAGTTTAGTCGCGCAAATTTTTTCTTTGTTTTCAAGGACTATTATATTTTACCATAAAAATTTTTACAAATGAAGCTCTAAAATTGTATATTTACTCCAAATGGCAATCATTTATAAATTCAAATCAAATATCAAATATGGGATCTTATTCCATCTAATTAAAGCAAAGAGGCCTCAAATGAAACCAAAATTATTTCGAAATTATTATCAAATGTAACAATTTGTTTCAATATTTTCTAACTAAAATAAGTTTACACTTTACATATCAATACAATGGACTTAAGACAATACTAATGTTAAAAAGATTAATTACTCACTCTTCTAGTAGTAGAAAATTTCCTCCTAGGTTGGTTTCCTCATCTGAATTAATAGATATTGCTCTAAATGTGGGAAAGTTAAATGTTTAGAACGAGTTTTTAATAAAACTTGCCATAGTTGTGGGAAATAGTCGACTGAAAATACAAGCCTGTTTTAAATATCTCCCTTTAATTTCTTCCCTTATATATATCTGATATCTTTTTTTTTTATGATACTACATATAGTATATAAGATTCAAAATAAATAAACGATTTATTAAATTAATGTCTAATAAGGCTAAAAGCATTTATTTTATCATTGAATTATGATTGGTACAGATAAATCTTTATTAGAATCACTACAATTTGTAGGATATTATTATAATGAAACATATTAAAGAGCGCGTTATATTTTTAGCTGGGTTCATTTTAAAAGACCCGTAAATTAGGTTGATTTTGACCATGTACCATACATGAGTATAATTTAAATTTATTTTTAAATCGGTTTATATATTGGTTTAGCCAGAATATTATTATTACAGACAGTATTATACTGATATATGTATGACCTTGTGTACAGTATTTCTTTGATTATAAGTTTTAATAACTGGAATTTACGGAAATTAAGTACACTCTAATATACATTAATAGCATTAATGGGAGAATTGGGTGTAAAATTTTCGATCATTTAACCTAATCTAATTCTAGCTGGAATTATAAGATAAATTATCATTTTATATCCTTTTTGGCAATAAATTCTGGCCAAATTTATAATACTGCCATTATGACAATACAACTATTGGATTAGTAATTTTGTCTCAATCTGACCTCTGGATGGCAAGAAAATTGAGAAAATATTAAAAAAAAATTATACTAAAGAATGTTAGTTAATAGTACGAAGCGCACAATTTATTGACACAGATGTCGACCGTATCAAATATTAATATGTATTTCTTGTTCTTTCAGAAAATAAAAAAAAATTTCATAAAGTTTTATTCATGACATTAAAAAAAAACTAACCGCTATTATTTTCGCCGAAGTTTGTAAATGAAAATGTAAAAATGTAAAGTAAGTGTACTTACGGCTTAAATCGCAAATGAAACTTTGGAGTGCGTATTGAAATTGGAATGATTTACTAATTACGTAATATTATATAACAAAAAGACCAGGCTTTAGGGTTTGCATGAAATAGAAATTATGTTTATTTAAATTTAATAACAAAAGTCTCCAAATAAATAAATAATAGAAAAATAAATATTCTTAAAAATCATCAATGTCCTTTTCAGTTGACATGGAAAATCATCTTTTACAATTTTGCTTTAACACTAGATTCAATCTCGGAATATAACTTATCAGTCACTTTATGGAAAGTTTGTCGAGCTTCATGACGTTTAAGTTTTAACCTGAAATTCATAATTAATAAGTATCTCAGATAGTTTTTTTATCAATCATAAATAAATAATACATACGTAGGAGTGAGAAGATTATTTTCAACAGAGAATGGTACATTCGTAAGATGAATAGCTTTTACAAATTCAAATCTAATTAAATAAAATAAAAATAAATTATTTAATAATTATCGAATTTAACAAAAATTATAAAGTATAACATCAACTTACCCTCTGAGTTTGGCATTTTGTCCAACTTTATCCATTTCTTTTAAAAATTCTTTACGAACTTCCGGATCATTAATTAAACTCTCCATTCCTTTTTCATCTCCCAATGAAACATTTTTTTTAACTAACACGTTGGCCCAAGGTACAAAAGTTTCGGGATCTGGTACAACAACTGCTACAAGATAATTACGAAGAGAATCTCCATGTACATATATTTGTACTATCAAAGGAGAATTAATATAAACGTTTTCGATCTACAAAAAAAACACACAAATTTAATATTTACAGATAGATTTAAAAACATTGTTATAAAAGTTATTACTTTTTCAGGGGCAACATATTCTCCTTGAGAAAGCTTGAATATGTTTTTTTTGCGATCAACTATAGTCCATGCGCCTTGATAAATTAAAAATTAATTATACATATGAACTATGAGATTAGTAAATTCACGTGAAAACCACTTACCACGCTCATCAACATAAGCGATATCACCAGTATGAACCCATCCTTCAGAATCAATGGCTTCTTTTGTTTTTTCTTCATCTTTGTAATAACCAATAAAACAATGTGGTCCACGATAACATAGTTCACCACGAGGATATGGTTTATCAGTTGATAAATAATTCATTTCAGGTACATCCACAAGTTTCATTTCACAACTAAAATTTAAAGTAATAATATTAAATAATTATTGTAATGTAAATAAACACAAATTAAGAACACTACCATAAGTGTGGCCCTCCAACATGACCGGCTTTGTTTTCGCCTCGAAGACCAACTGTCGCAGTTGCAACACCTTCAGTCTGCCCATAACCTAATGAAACAATAGGTTACTATTATATTTTATACAAATCTTATATAATTCTTATTTCAACATACCCTCTACAATTTCGGTTGAAAAGGCTATTCTTAAAAATTGCAATACTTCAGGATCTAAAGGGGCAGAACCTGTTATCATCACACGTACACGACCCCCTAATATTTGTTTAATCTTGTTAAATATAATTCGGTCCCATAGGGGATGTGTGTATCCTTGTCCCGTCTCCAATTTTTCAAGTTTAGCAGCCACTGCTCTCCTTGATAATGCTCCCTTAATTCCTGGAGCGTTAACCGTAGCTTGTTGAAGCTTAGCATGAATACGTGTAAGCAATCTTGGAACCGATGGGAATAATGTAGGTCTAAGTTCGGCAACATCGTCAATAAGCGTAAGAACGTCTCCATGGTAATATCCGATACTGCAACCAAATGAAATTGCCATTGATTCCAATATACGACCAAAAATATGAGCCAGCTATTAAATTAAACTCCAATTAATAAGGTTAGCCAAAGAATTTTTTCTTTAAAAAACTTAATTATTAATAAAGCAATTAATTACTAACCGGCAAATACGATATAAGAACCTTCGTAATTGATAGAAATATTTTCTTTTTAATGAATATAATAATAAAAGACGATCAAATAATATAAATAACATACATCATCTTGATTTCCGTCCCAAAGCTGGCATGTTGAAGAAATTGCTGCTACAAAATTCCTGTGTGTAAGCATAACACCTTTTGGAACTCCAGTTGTACCAGAAGTATAACAAATACAAGAGAGATCTTTTGGAGAAGGGGGATTATGCTTTCGGGGATATTGCTTTCCCAGCTTTTCTACCTCACTAAAACTCAACAATACAATTCCCTTGTCTTCCGCCCAAGCTTTTAATACTTTTCCGGTAGTAGTACTCCCAAAAGGTACAGGAGAATCATCTTCTAACTCATCCATTGAAATAATAACTTTTAAATTTGGAACCTTCGGAGCCAATTGAATTAATCCGGGAATTCGATTGGCACCAGTAACAACAATTGGAATCTCAGCATGATTTATAACATATTCCACAGTTTCTAAGGTATCATAAAATAATTTAATTAATAGAATATTGATTTTTTTGATCATTTCTTGTTTTATTACCTGGTCCCAAAGTATCATACAATGCAACGGTGATAAGATTATAAGCGCAATTGGCCTAATAAGATAAAATCAATGTTATATATTGATCTTCAAAAATTTTCACATAATTTAAATTACCTGATCAGTAATAAACCATTCTGGATTATTTCATAAGTTTAATAGTGAGTGACAATACATAAGATAAAAACAAAAAATTAATTAATTCGTACCAGGTCTATTATTAGCATAAATTCCCACTGTCCATTGCTTATCCTTGAAATTCTTAGGATTCTTCTTATTTTTAAGATTCTTATCCGTCTATAGGAAAATTTTCGATAAGTATACAATTGAATGCTCATAAAATGATTGAACATACATTTTCATTTAAATACAAAAGCCCTGATCCAAAATTATCTATGCGTTCAGCAATTTGCTTATAAGATTGCCATAAATATGACCCATATTGTCCCGTCGATTTATTATAAGAACGATAACCAATACAATTTCTGTCTTTCGAAACGTTAAGAGCTAATAAATAACATAAATAAAGATTTAGTCTTTAAATAAACCTTTTAAACAAAAGCACATTATTGATTGTTACATACAGTATTGGAAATTCTCATATAGCGTTGTTACTTCTTTTCTATTAAATTAATCGATAAAACCACTCTGCAAATTAAGAATAATGCAAATAATAAAGGTAAGTAAAGGTATTACAAACCTTATCGTAACAGTTAAATTATCCGGGTTAAGAGCATTTCTGTATATTCCAGTTTGGCCAGACTTTCTAGTATCAGGCAATTCAACGGAGTACTTCGTTGGCGGCTGGGTCATACTTTTTTTCCTCAAAAGCTTCGTTGGTTTCGATTTTCGATCTGCGAAATATTTGATATAAATTTATCTACTATTCTAGCAGATCTAGATGAATCTCAAAAATTCTGATTGGATGGTAATTTATCCACTAAAAAAATTTCTAAATACCAAATCCTAAAATCCTAACCTAATACTAACATTCGGAGGCCGGAGCGGTTCTTACTCCGGATTCTGGTGTAAATTAAGCTCGATTCTTGTGATTGTGTTAACTTGAGTAGATATTAAATTTTTATTAATGTGAAATTCTGATCATAGATTGTCAGAACTCAGAACACTATCCATGTATATTAAAGAATTGGTTTGGAGCGGCCTTAAAGTAGATAGATGAAGTAAGTTAATTTTTACTTTATCGTGAAGTATATAATGGAATTTTATATGTAAATATGCCCACTAACATGAAGACTCTTTTCTTAAATTAGTTTAGCAAAGTAGTAAACATAATCTATTAAGTTCGACCTCTCTGGTAGGATTTCAAATATTAACAATAAAATAATTTAAATAATTATAATTCTTTATTTTAAAATCTACTTTCCAGATCGCACAAAATATGTAGTAAAATAATATCAAATAATATTCTATATGCGTAATCAAATAAAAACGATTCCATAATTTCTTATGGAAATATTAATATCTAATTTATTGACTAAATTACAATATTAAAATGTGACTTTTAAATATTTATTTATTAGAATAAACTAACCAAATCATTTGTTAATCCATTATTTTGATGATTATTTGATGAGGATGATTGAAGTGGAGTAGATAGATCATTATTCATGTTACTACCACCAAACAAATCCAACAAATCATCTACATTTGCAGTAGCGTTTGTTGATTTAGATGAGGAAGGAGGTGTATTAGATGTTGGCGTTGCAGAATTATCGTTAAAATCAAGATCCAATAAGTTCTCAATATTAGTTTTAACTTGAGCTTGAATAGGTGATTCTCGAGAAGCTTCTTCTTGCTCCCTACAAGATAGAGGGAAAATAAATTTTGTTAAGCACTCAAAAGAGATCAGATAAAAAATAAAATGGAATAAATAAACATACTCAATAGCTCGCCGTTGTACAGCGTCTGCACCAAATCTTCCTCTTCCAAGGAATGTTTCTGGAGGTTTATGGTACACACTTGCAAGAGTCGAAATATTATTAATAAGTTCTTCTAGCAGTGGACCACTCAAAGTGTTACCCTGTACAGATATTACTGGTCTGTCTGATAAAACAACGGCCTACATAAGAAAGAAACAATTTAAAAAAAATGCACGGTTTAATTTATTAAAATTTTTTTAAAAAAGTTTACCTTGGCAGCTTGGGGGTCTGTAGAAAGTAATCTCCAGTAAACATATGCACGATCTCGGATATCTGGATTATCACATTCTGAAGTAGCAATTTGTAGTAACCGCCAAACAATATTTTGTGTTGCCTGTGGCTTTTTAAGAAATAATTTAACGGTCGCAGTAACTAACTGTAATTGAACCTGTCCAGTCAACAAAAAAAAGAAATAAAAAACCCTGTAAATATTGATAAATCAAGTTTCAGACCACGTCCCATCCATACATCTCTTTAACTTAATATTTCTTAATTAGACTTAAAATTATTACCTGAGAATTTTCATCTCTAAAAGTATCTAAAAACGTAACAAGTAATTCGTCCGCATTTTCTATTCTCTCAGCATATTCTCCGATGATCCAAATAAGTGATGCCTTGGCTTCTGGTTCATCTAAAACTTCTAAATTCTGACACAGTGTAGGAATAATTCCTTCGTAATTGTTTGGATATTTTCGGAAAATATCCTATATATATAGAAAAGAGAATAATTGCTGTTCATAAATTAATATTATAATAACGAATTGTAAAGAGTCGACATAAACCTTAATAACAATAATAGCCTCCTGAACCACATAATTCACTTTGGTATTTATTAAGTCCAATAAAACATTAATACATCTTTCAGACGCTTCATCAATTTTTATTGCACATTGTCCAATTGCACGAACAGATTTTCTAACGAAATCCACATCAACTTCGGATGCATATCTAAAAATAATTTTGGCAGTTTTATTGTTGGATAATGCAGATAATTACGTAGAACGCGCCACTTAAAATAACTTACTCTTTTAGTTCTGATAAAAGTTGATCGACATTTTTATCATTAGCTAGTTTGATCATAATTTCAAGTTTTTCCAATTTCACATATGGTGGATCATTATATTTACAAAAGAAAACTCTTATTTCATTTTGTAAAATATCAGAACGTTTTTGCAAAATAAGATTAATGTTTCGTAGTGCAACGTATTGAACTTCTGGTGCAGATGCCAGCAACGTGACTAAAAATCAATGTTAATTTCTTTGTAAAACATAATAATACTTAATAATATATCTATCCTAACGTACATAATGTATATTACATACCTAATGGTGGTGCCATCTTTCTAACTAATTGACGTAACATCTCATCAGTTTTGATAATTCTCATATAAATCATTACAACCTAAACGAAATATAATCCTGTCCGTAAATTTCATAATTTCATTATTTAGAGAAAATAACTTTCTAAATAAATCTGAAATCATCACCTTAATTGCGGATAAAACTACACTTCCATTAACATGTTGAAATTGTGGAATTACACGTTCAACAATATGTTCAGCCTCTTTTGAATCCGAAGGTCGATAATCTGCCAATGCTGTTAAAATTGCTATACGACCCCATCTGTTCCATAATAAAAAATTTAACAATTTTAATTGATATGAAAATTCCTCTCCTACAATATAACAATATCGCTAAATTATTTTATATGCCTTACTCTGTGCATTCATTTAATGCTACCAAAAGTTTTGTAAGTGTCGGTGTATTAATAACAAAAATATCTTTAGTTGTAGATGCTTCATTTATTTCTGCAAGTGCTGTTACGGCGTTTGCTACCACCTTTTTTTAAGAAAAATTTTATAATTTATACATACAATATAATAATATAATTTTTTTTAAACAAGTAAAATACCATAGGATTCGCGTCCGAAACCATGTCTTGTAAAACAGCAACAAATCCATTTTCAGTGGCTAATTCTGGATTTAAATCATATAATTTTGCTACACATATCGCAGCAGTTTTTCGGACATAAGGATTATCATCCTACACAATTACGAATTGTATCTTTTAAAAAAATAAATAAAAAATAAATATAAATAATACAATAAATTATATATACTTTTAGGCATTTCCTTAAGGGCTCACAGAGATAATCGATTATCTTTTCTACACGGATACATCCCATTGTACGAATAGCTAATGCCCTTATCAATGGATTGATATCATCAGTATCCTTAAAATAAATCAGTTAATATTCGTGATATTAATTTAGTTTATTTAAAAAAAAATTGGTTATATAAACATACAATTTACTAAATGTCAATTACCTTTACAAACGTATTAACCGCTAAAATTACCAGCTCTGGCTGAGTTTTGGCATAATTCATCAAGTACAAATACACTAATTTCTTTTGTTCCAAATCCTCGGTTTGCATATTTTTCAAGACTTCCGGGAATAAACCCGAAACATCCTTCCCAACGGTCATGTTCGCTATGACTTTTTTGATTGCATCTTTCCGACGATCGCGATATTCACTGTTAAGGTCAGCACGAAGCTCATAATTTTCACCTAAAATGAATAAAAAATTTGGTTCAGATTATTTTGTTGATTTCAACAAAAGTTTTCTGGATATTCTAAGTAAGACTATAATAATAAACATGTTTTGATGAAGAACTGCTAAAATTCGTGAAATTCGAGAATTCCAGAAGTGGTATCATCATTTTTGAAAAAGAATTTCATGGATCAAAACCCGATTTCAACAAAACCTCAACATTCAATAAACTTTATACTAAAGCCGACCTTTCTTTGTTGTTGCAAAGAACTTTGGTTTAGTAACTCGAAAATCGTTCATTATTTATTTTTGAAAGAACGGAACGTGTTTGGCTTGAACCAATCGAGATTTTATATCAGAATGGTGATGTCATCACAAAATATCGAGCCAATCAAACATATTTAGCTTTTTTTTTTACGTTTTGGTGAAGTTTTGAGTAACTATTCAAACGAACGATGCCATTTCCAAATTTACGAAGAATTTTTTCTTCCTTTCGAACACCGGAGGAAGAAAGACAAATATCACGCTCAGCCTTTTTTAAGTTTGTAGGCTTTGTTATATCTTGTATGGCTATTACCATGTTAGCCAACAGGAATAGGATGAAAGCAATTAATCAACTGAAAGTTGAGTAATGAAACACGGTATACCTTCAAATTCAAACACCCCTTAATTACCATTCTTTTTTTCTTTAAAACATTTCATTTAATACTTGTATAATATATAAATTTAATAAGGTACAATAGAAGTATATATAAAGCTTTTGTTTACAATTTTTGAGCAAAGCTCAAGACTATTAAAGAACATGAAAAGATTTTCCATGCCTAATATCATACTTTATTTATTCGGAATCTGATTGTATTTCTTTTGAGGAGGAATCATCGTACTCCTATAAATTTTAATAATTGTGAGCTCGATATAATATTGAAGTGGGAGTAATTTACTACATACCGGCGAAGACTGAGTAACGCGTGAAGCTTTACGACGCACAGGGTTAAAAATGCCTCTAGAAGCACGTGCTTTTCGAGATTCTTTAACATCATCGGAGATTATGTTGTCAACATCCATTGCTCTTAACTCAGCTTCAAGTTCTCGGTTCTTTTTTACCTTTTTACATTTTTCGAGTGTTGGACGCCCTATTAAAAATTTATAAACGATCAATTCTGACATTATTAAAATTAAGTATTGAGATAAGTTACCTTTAACTCCTAAATCCTCGAGAAATTTTTTCAATTTTTTGATTTTCTTAGAATCTGTGTCGCAATCCGCCAGCTCTTTCGACCTAAACAAGCAGACAAATTAATTAGGAATTATGTTATTTTGAGATCAATTAAATATTTCACATACCAATTTTTACGCACTCCGCACTTATTAATTGACATTTTAAGAGATTTAATTCTTTTTTCATTCTTTTCAGTTGTCTGCAATAGAAAATAAAAAATTCAATCTCAATTAAATATGTATATGAATGTACTTATACTTACCGTTACCGACTTATCATTTACTAATTTATCGTTTACCGGCTTATTATTTACCGGTTTAGTTAGAGCTTTCTCAGTCTTGCGTTTCTTGTTTCGCGGTTTGTCATCTTCAAGCGAGCTTAAATCAGTGTCGTCGTCCTCATCTTTAAAATCTAATGTTCTTTTTGTAGACATTAACTCAACTTTCAAGCCATTTAATTCTTGTTTAGCTTCGGCTACCGACTCGGAATTATCTCCATCTCCTTCTGGTTCTGATGTCCTTTTTAACACTTTATCATCATCTTCTTTGATGGTATTATCAGATTCAACATCATCGCCGCTCTTTGATCCAATCATATCCGAGTCTTGAGCGAGAACTTTATTCTCAAGTGCCATCACCACCCCTCCATCCTCAACAGGTTCGATTTTTCGACGAGATTGTTCCTCCTTGTCCACCTTCTCTTTGACGCGCATTTTTCTGCTAGGTTCTTCATCCTTATCTGACGATGTATCGATCTTTATCTGCTTAGGTCGTTTTGCTGGTGGCAACGCAGACTCTTCTAAATCGCTCCCTTTTGTTGTTGAAGCAGGTACAGAATCACTTTTGACATTGCTCTTATCATCAGTATCACTCGAAGCATTGATCTTTCTTTTAACTCGAGTTCGTGACACGTTGGTCTTTTCTTTATTATTAGCATCGACACTTTTGGAAGTGTTTTTTATGGACAAACCCGATTCAGACTCTTCTTCAGAAGGTATCTCCTTATTTAACCCCGTTATCTTGAACTTATTTGATTGTCTAGTTTTTTTGGTCGTAGCATTGCTTTTAGCAGGCCTTGAACTAGATGATGATTTATTATCGTCCGTCGTCCTCGATTCCTCTTCTCGATTGGTAGGTTTTGAGCTTGAAGATACTATTTTTGATTCTCCATATGTTTTGGATATTTTGTTTTGAGCTTTGTCAGCTTGAGTCTTTGATGTTGGTGACGACTCTTGTTTGGATACCTTACTTCGAGCTTTGCTATTTAAGGGTTTTGATGGCAAATCATCATCTTCCAAAACCTTGCTAGAGTCCTTTGATTTAATCTTAGTTTTTTTTGGCTTGTTATTTATAGAAGTCGATTTAGTAGTAGTTTTGGCTCTGGTTTTCTTTGGTTGACTAACTTGTGGTGGCGGTGAACATGAAGAATCACTTTTCTGTTGCAAGTCATTCTAAATAAATAATATGATGTTAATAATTGAAAAATATTAAAAAGAAAAAACATTATTAACTTTACTTACTAATATTTTATTGACGAACTCTTTAACAATACTTTTATAAGGATCACCGTCTAGAATCTTGTCCTCCAAGCCAAGTTCTTCTTCAACTTGACGTCGGACTATTTTCTCTGTTATTGTACTAAAGTTCGGAGTTAAATACAAAAACTCCGTGTGTTGTCATTTTTGTTTTATTTCTTTAAATAAGAGCAGCAAAAAAATTTATATACGTTTTTCGTATATTTACTTACTCTAAATCAGCAGAGGATAGAATTGTATTGCAAATTTCATATACTTTTTTTTTGTCTAATTTCATTATGTAACAACACCTCCCTTCGAATTATTAGGCTTGGTTTCGTGACAGAAAAAAACGCCAGAACCCTTTTTATTAAGTAAGATAAATTAAGAATGTTTCCAGTTAATACAAGTTTTAATAAACAAAATAAACTATCAATAAATAGCCAAGAACGAGAATTTTTCGTATGAGAACCAAACAAATTCATTGGACGAAAACATGTAAGAATCATAGATTAAGCAAGAGCCAATTAAAAAACATTGTACGCGGCAACATGCATGAAAAAACCGTGCCGTTTATTCTATATAAATGTAGAAGGTAATACAGATCCTTAAAATTTTATCGATTTTTGATATGTAAAAAAATTCTTTTTAGCTTTAAATAAAATGTCTTCTACTACAAATAAGGACGATGTATATCACGAAAAAGAATTGATTTTAAACACCCTGAAAACATCCTTGGGGTTTGCTGGTGTTGGACTTCTTATTGCTGCCGTGCAAAATTCTTATATTGATTCTAATACACGTGCTACTATTTTCACTAAATATGGTTCGACTATCACAGGTTTTGGTAAGTTATTTTACAATTTATGTTCTTGAGTTCTTAATGAAGCCTTTTTTAAGAAACTAAATAAGTAAAATAAATTTTCGATTATATGATTTTATTTATTACAGCTTTATTAGGAGGTATCTTTACAGCAACCGAAACTGTAACCGCGAACATTAGAAAAACCGACGATTGGATTAATGGAGCTGTGGGTGGATGTGCCACCGGTTTAACTGTTGGAATAAGAGGTGTGTTTTAATTATTGTTTAATTTCCCATTCTTATTGTATTATTTTTAAAATGAATCAATCAAATTTTTATTTTTAATGATTTATTTAGCACGTTCACATAAATTAGGTGTTGGTGCATGTCTGGGTATCGGGGGTTTAATGAGTTTATACGAATTTTCTGGAGCATGGAAAGGTTTATTGAGATATAAAAATGAGGTTTGTTATTTTATTTTAATTGATATATAAATGTTTTTAGAATGAAATTTTTAATTAAATTTATGATAAAACAGGATGAGAAAAATGAATGGAGAAGGAGATTTTTCAAAGATAATAATCAAATAGTAAATGAGGAATGATCAAATAATTGGATTAATGATCAGACGATGAAATTGAAAGTTATGATACCATGCATTATCATGATATCAAACATCACGCGAAAATAAGCTAAACCGTAAATTAATGGTGTGATGTTAAATTTTTTTATTTATATTAATTCTGAGGATATATTCTGGAACATCAATAATAAATCAAATAGATTCGCTAAAACATTCTTTCGATAAACAAATTTTTTTTTTTAATTTATAACTTTAACAATGGACTGAATGGTAATAAATAAACCAATAAGACATGTATGAATTTCTAAGGACAACTAATTTAAAACAATTTATAAATATTACAGTGATACAAAACATCATATTTACTTTCTATGATAAAATACATGTTGTATTTATCCAATACACCCTGAAACAAAGGTAAATATATTTTCAAATAATTGGAATACTATTAGAATGATAAATTAAATAGTTCTTTTTAAAAAATAAATTCCTATTAATGATATTGATACAAGATATAAGGAGATTAACAAATAAATGGATATTCATATAAATGTATATGTTCACTCACTTTTCTTTTAATAAACGAAAAGAAATCCTAAATAATTTTGTTAAGCCAAGGCAGCCAATACCACTACCAGACCAACGATTGTAAAAATAAGCAACAAACAACACATGTTCTTACGAGCTTTCTTCTGATAACGACTTGCAACAGTCAATTCATCAGTTGCATTTCGGACATTAACAGCAATGTTTGTTACGTTACTTTCAATATTATCTTTTAATTATAAATTTATTAATTTAGCAATTTATGAAAAATAAAATAAAAAAAAAACTAAATTTTGATTTAAATTATTTAAATATCCTTACCTAACATAGACTGTTGCTCCGTTACCAAAGTTCCCAAATCTCTGAATATTTCATTCAACTCGTTAATTCCTTGTTCGATTTCTCTGATCTCTCCCTCGCGTTCAGCGATCAAAGATTCATTGTACTCAATTTCATTGTCCAATACTTGAAGTTTGTGTCTTTGGCTGTCATCAATTAAAGGTTGTTCTTCAGCAACACCGGAATCTTCCTCACTAAAAAGAAATTAGGAAATATTAAACAATGCCAATGATCAACCAATCAAAAAATTTTTCATTTAAGAACACTTACTAAATATCATTTCGGACATTATGAGCTTTCGCTTTATCAACATATTCTCGTTGTTTTTCTGCGGAGAGCCGTTGGACTCTTTGGAATTCTACTAATGTCTTTTGAAAGTCCTTAGAGAGTTTTTGCTGCTCAAGTTTACGCTAATAGAAATGATCAAATTAATTAAGCTTAATCAAGCATTCTTCCGGCAAAAGAAAATAAACTTACATTTTGCCCGCTTGTACTTTGAAAATGAGATAATTGTTTAATATTACCACTTGTCTCCTTTACTAATTCACGCGTTCTCTCAGTTATTGTATGTCTGTAAAAAATTAATATAACTTGATAGTTACACAAACCAATAAAATTTATTTCAAAAAGATATAAAAAGTAAGAATTTGCATGACTTACAATTTTGTTCTCAATTCTGGTGTATCTTTCGTTGTTCCCAGATGCGAAACAAGCCTCTGTATATTAGCCACATTACTCGTAATATTAAAAACCTGTTGGGATATATTTTTGCTTAGGTTCTTATATCGTATGTCATCTTCTATAAATGGAAAGAAATAATAAATAACTTTAACTTTCAATTTAACTGTTTTTTCTTTAGATTTCAATATAATTTCAACGTAGCATTTCTTTGCAGGGCAAATATAAGGACAAATAAAACTCTTTGAACTCTGTTATCATCGAAAAAGAGAAATTAAAACTTGTATTAAGGTTTAAAAGGAAAAGCTGTAGCGATATACTTACCACCTGAAACTGACGAACTTCCGTAATAACTTCCTTTTCGACCGCTGGAAGGAGATCCCGTACCTCTTTCCAAATCGTTAAAGGACATATTTAAGTTGGAGAATATATGACTTAAATTTTAAGGAGTATTGGCTAAAGGAGGAATTAGAAAAACAGAAAATAGGAGAGGAGATTATCGATTGTTTGCAAATATAAAGGAAAAAAAAGAGATCCGGAACAATATCAAATTTGATAGTTTTTGATGGCGTATTAATGTATCACCAGATAAATTCCCCACACATGTACAAATTACCGGTGCATTTTGGTAGGGAAAATCAGTTTGAAGATCTGTAAAATATTGCCGTCACGTTTGATGAACGTTATGCAAATTCAAAATTTTTTTTTTTTTAAACGATGTTTTTTTTTGGCTAATTTTCTGTAGCCTACTGATATTGATTTTCCGTTAGCAGATCTTGCCACAAACACTCGAAAGTTACACCATTGTACGATGAAATTATTGTACAACAAGAATGTTAGCCAATTTCTTTTAAATTAGTGTGTCTCGAACTACCTTATAATTAACTAATTCTCAATCCCTTCTTACAGCAATATTTAATTCTTTCTAGTATAAAAAAAATGTATAATAATATACAAACATATTCTTCCACATCACGTTTACTGATTGATTGTTTAGACAAAGAAAAAAATAAAATACAAAAAGTTCAAGAAAATCCACCTGTGTATCAATTAGCTACTAAAGCTGCAGGTCTGTGATAATTGCCAAAAAAAAGTATATTTATACAATGGTATAATATTAATGACTTGTCATTTAATGTATTAGCTGATCGTTGTCTTGATATTCTCAGAAGATTTCCTGATTGGCACACAGGATTCGTTGGCTTTGATACAGAAACTACAGTCTACAGACAAAAGGATCCTCAGGTTGTTTCAATGATTCAAATAGCCACGAGAGAATTATGTTTTCTATTTCAAGTATTTCGAATTACCAAAATAAATAATACCAAGTTTCCGCCTCTGCTTCAAGAAATTTTAACAAATCAAGATATTAAGAAAGTTGGAGTAAATGCTTCAGGTGATGCAAATTGGATCAAAAAATCCTACGGCTTTGAAATGCGAGGAATGGTTGATCTTGAAAAAATCGCTCAACAAAAAGGATATGCAGCAAGGTCATTAAGGGAACTAACTAGAATGTTTGGTGATCCTGGATTAGTACTGGAGAAATCTAGAAAGATATTGAAATGGAATTTCGATGCAGTTAAATTAGATCTGGAAGTAATTCGTTATGCATCTTCTGATGCTTTTGCTGGAATTCAAGTTTATGAGAGTATTTTAAAAGACAGGATAAACGAGGAATATCTTAACTATGAGAAGCGGTATCCAATGAGTATGAAAGAAGAAGACGACGAAATTTATTCATTAATATTGGAGTCTCATCCGAAAGGCGTGGTAGGAAATCATGTTAAACATTTACAATTTATGTCATTTTATTCTTAAGATTATATAACAACGATTTAACTCTTTATTAACAAAAGAATACTAGAACAAAGACGATAGCAAACTCCATTGAGAATCATTATCAGCGCTGGTTTAAAACTAAACCAAAAACAGATGATCGCCATAAAGCAGCACTTAATGTTATTGGTCGGTTTATCGAAGATGGGCGATTAATTAAAGTACTTGGAAATACAGATTCAAATTCTGATGAACAAAATGAGAAGAAAATTTCTTCAATAAGTATGATCCGCCTTCCTGGAGTTCCATTTAATAAAATACTTAAAGATTTTGGTAAGGAGTTTTTTGAGTCGAAAGGTCTTCCACAACAGGATAGCGAATTTATGACAGAAATATCATCATATTGTTTGAAGGCCATCAAGAAAGAATCTTTGGCAAAAAATATTGCTAATAATAGCAAAATTACCTCTCTGGATCGGAAGAATCGAGACGCTGTTATAGCTAAACTAAACGAATTAAATCGCAAAGGAGCTTTAATGTCGGGCCAAAAGAACAATACTCTTTTATTGCATCCTGATTGGGTAAATGGATTAGAAGATGGATATGAGAAATTTAAATTAACACATGATGTAGAAGACGAACGTGTGGAAAATGAAACCTCGAAGGAAGGTGATTCAGATAATGAAAACTTAGAAGGGAGATGGGAGCAAAATGAGCAAACATATGAACCATGGCAAGATATTACCACATTTGATCCTAGTGATGTCTGGGGTAATAAAGATTAGTAATCAAATTTTGTTGTCGAGTATTTGGTTTTTTTTTGATTTTCACGATTGAATGAATATTCAACAAGTTCCAGTTCGGTGAAATAAAATGAATCAAAAATAATTATTTAATAGATAATTTACTTTTGTTAGTTTTAGATTAAAAGTAATAATCAAACCAGTAGTAAGCTATCATAATAATGTTGTACAAAATTTCGAGAGAATTTTATAAAATTAATATCCTACAATTATTTGGATATCATAAGTAATAAAATCCTGCAATTAATCAATGTTAGTTAAACAATTTTTATAACAATTAACGTGCTCAACACACTATTAAATTGAAAACAAAAAAGTACAAGAATATTATGTTATTTTTTTTAATTGTAATATCACAAGCTCAATATATAAAAGAAGAAAAAGAATGATTGATTGATACTACAAGAGGATAGCAAAGAAAATAACTTAATTACGTACTTCTTTTATATATTCTAAATCCTTTCCCTCCTAATTTCCATCACTTAAACACACACCAAAATCTTTTCGTCACCAAATTAAAATCTAAGCTTAGTAAAGAACCATTTGCTTTTTCCAGTTTTATCATTTTTGTATCTATCTTGTAAATGCTTCTTTACGGCCTTCTTTGCATCCTTACGTTGAGAAGGTTCTTTGAAACAATCCAAGTTGACCGTTTGCTTAATATCTTCCAATTCAAAGGTATACCGGGTTGGCATCAAATGATTATAGTTTATGATCTTGATGAAAGGCTTGATCCTTGATCTTTTAGCAATACGTTTTGGTCCCATTTTTCTGGTAACTTTGAGCGGGTATCTTTCAATACCGACAACGATGGCATGGCCATACTGACGATCTTTAGTACCTTCATCCAGGTTTTTAACAATCACTACTTTTTTTCCGGCATATCGGCCTGATAAAACGATTGCCACTTTTCCTGGTTTTAAAAATTTAACCATTTCGTTGATTATAAATTTGAAAATATATCTTATCCGAGATGGATGATGGATAGTGGTAAGAAGGAAAAAAAAAAAAATTTCAACTTGATGATCATCATATGACTTTCATTTATTGACACGTGATTTTTCGACACTTTTGACGGTTCAATTAAACCCGGGGTCAAAGGATATAAATTATTGGTTATATTCATAAGAAGTTAAACTAATTTTTTGGTCTAAAGAAGGTATAAACGAGTTTTTAATTATATCAGCTTCAAATAGAGGTATAATTCTCTATAAGAATATCGATATCAGTATACAAATTCTTTTGCGGCTTAGTTTCATCCCACGCTAAAGAATAATTATCAAATCTTACGTTAACAGTAAAAATAAATTGTTTGCTAAATATAAAGCCGCCAAAATGTACGACTGTCTCACCCTGTGACTGGAGAAAGAATAGTCACATCCATTACCATTAACGAAATTAAAATAACCTATTTTCTGACACTCGCTCGCTTACGTTATTCTAAATGCGCTCTTACAGAAATTTCAAACTTTTGAACTAAGAACACGAAAAACATGTATTGTACAAGAAATATTGTCTAAAATACCGGAATAGTTATTATAATTGACTAAGCACTAAGCCCCACCTTTTAATACACTTTTTACGGAGGCTTGTAAAAATAGCTTGATTCAGAACAAGCCTTCATAAAAATATATATATGACATGTGACAAAATGAGAAGATATGCTACAAAATCGCCAGATATTAAATTTTTTGTTCTTTCGAGCTTTTTTTGCTGACTGATCTATTTTTTGAAAATTTAAAATCGTAAATTCTCGACTATTATACAGACGTAAGATATGAGCACAATGTTTGCGTCACAAAAGACCAAAATTATTTTTAAAATACCTGAAGAAAAGTCTGGACTTATATTTGATAACAATTGTAAAAATATAAAAAAAATAGAGTAAATAATTTCAATTATTTCTTTTGTACATTTAATTTATAATTTTCGCATTAATGTTAAATGTAAATTTCTGCTTTATTATATTAATTATATGAAATGATCCGTTTAAATTTTTCAATATACCTCCAATTGTAAAAATAAGAGAAAATACGGGCGCAAGAATAATACTTAATGATGATGCCACAGAAGCAACTATTAATGGGACATATGGTCAATGTGAAGTTGCAAAATCAAGAATAGAAGTTTTTCTCGACAATGAAGCAAAAAAACCAAGACCTAGTATATATCTTGAATTAGGTTTTATAATCCTTGATACTTCTCGGGCAATGCTTTCTGCTGCGGATAAAGGTATCTCTTCAAGAGTTACACCAAAAATACATTTCAGGAAGTATGATTTAAAGAATCATAATAGCCATTCAAAAGGAAATGAATTATTTTATATTATGTTTGATCATGAAGATTCTAACGCTTTAGGTTTAGAAACTAGTAAGAATTTCAAGGAAGAATTTAATGAATTAGAAAGAGTAATTGATGATGATAGTGAATCATCTACCACGAATATTTATGATTTCTTATGTGGAACGACATCCGAAAGAAAGTCCGAAGATAGTAATCCAATTATGTGGAACATAAAAAGGATTTCTAATTATGAAAATGATGCTAATGGAACCTCGAAAGATCTTGACACAAGTCTATCTGAATGGGAGCCAAATGTATCAGCTCCAACACTTCAACAACCATTCAGTATTTTTTCTCAATTATCTATGTGTATGGCGAAAATTATATCAAATGTATCCGAGTTTTTTCCAGTGAACAATTCTGGAATAGAAATAAAGGCTTCTCTATATCTCGGACGCCAATTGTTTTTTAATGTACCAAGTAAACCAAAATCATATAGTTTGTCAGAATGGTGTAAATTAAGAAGGGCTGGTCCAAAAGGTATAAAAACTTCTTTTCGGCATGATGCACCTTTTGTTGATGGATTAAGGATTCTTCAAGCTGAACTAGGATTTCAAGAAGCTGAGAGTTTTGGAGATAGCGAAAAAGATAAATGGAGCGTCACGATTTATTTTAATGATGGTGAAGACAAGAAATTAAAATTAAATTGGGATCATCAAAAAAGTATTTTAAATTTATCTATCATGTTGCTTATCTTTTGAAAATTTTTTTCATTTCTTGACGCGGCCTTTTCTTATAATTAGGAACTTGGAAGGTAACTAAAGTTGTAAAAATATTACGTCACGTCATTCTGATAGATTTAATTTCTGGTTCATGTTCACCAGATATTCGTTTTTTGTTAAAAACACAAATTCGTATACCAATCGATCAAAAACTGATAGATTTGATTGAAAATTTACAAAATTCTGTAAATAGAGATGAAAGCGACATGTCTTTTCGTGTAAAAGATTTTGCAGATACTTTAAATGTTACTAGGGTTGAACAGACTATTAACAAGAGACGATTCTAGTAAGTTTTTGGACTGTTGTTTTTTTACTTTTTTTCATTATTTCAACTTTGCTGATATAACGCATTTCTTATTAAATAGTAACAAAGATTATAGAATTAGTATTGTACCTACGAAACAAGATTCCGATGGTACAAGAGTAACCTATGGTAATAATGTTATTATTAAACATTTAGATTGGATTGCGATGAATAAATATTTAACGCAATCTTACAAAAGATCATTAAAAAATTCTACTATGGAATTCCCTACATCGCAACATTTATCCTCGCCTCCTCTTTCTACTTTATCACGCTCTTCCTCTTCGATACATTCATCTTCGCCTCCAACACCATACGAACAACGAGTATCGGACGAATTAAATACACATAATGCAGCCAATAAAATTACAGAAGAGTTTGACCTGATAAGTTTTGATGATGAACCACTACCAACATTATTGAGCATAAATATCACAAATAAGACTGTCCATTTATTAGATGATAATTCAAATGGAATTAATCAGATTAAACACATTCTTGATGATGACAGTCAAATGAAAATTGAACGACATATTCTTGATAATGATAATGAATTAAAGAATCAAAGTCATATTTTGGATGATGATTATAACTTGTTTGGCATGGAAAATTCGCAAACAAATCAAGATGATTATAATGAGTATGATGAAAATTTTAAAAATGGAGAGATGCAAATAACGGGAACTGAGGAAGAAAAATTTGTCAGAGAAAAAAATTGGAAAGATATACTAGAATTTACTATACCTAACTCTCTAGAGTACGCTAGAGAATTTTGTAAAACTATCAGCTGAAAACTAAGAAATCTGCAAAATTTGCAAGTATCGTTTTTTAGTTTATAAGGGATACTTATTTAATTATTATAACCACTTGGAATAAATATCCAAGGGATTTATTTTGGATCTGTCATTAGTTCAAATATATACGTACGAATTAACTACGTATTGGCTTTTTTGATGAACCCAACTATTTATGTATAAATGATCCAAATTTATAATTTATTGTGAAGTGCAGAATATTATGTAATTTGAATTCCAGTAATGTATATTAGGATTGTAATTTTTTCATCGTTATTTTTTTTTTTATCTTCCATTATTTTAATTTTACATGATAAAATTTCCAAAAAAAAAATTTTACATTTTAAAAATACTAGTTGATTGGATATTAATAATTGAAATGTAATTATGCCATAATAATGTTTGGTGAGACGGTGATCTCGGGATTGTTATCCCGTTCGTTACTCATTACATCACAATGGTAATCGACTCTTTACTAGATTTTACTTTAAATATTATCATAAATTTTTCGAATAAAACGCAATTTTTCTTTTATTTTCAATATATCTAGATTAAAAAAAAAATATGGAAAATACACCTGTTAATGCGGTTTGTGTTCTATATATAAACATCGTAAATATATTTGTTTTTAGTATAAAAAGTTTATTTATGGTACATTGGCTTCATCTTCGTAAAGGCACATGCTTTCGCAAATGCAGCAGAGGAGTTAGGAGAGAAAGAGCAGTGGGGAAAAGCAATGGAAGCTCATTTTCGTGCTGCTGGTACGAATGTTTGAAATGTCGATTTTTTTTTTTTTTTGTTGAATATCGTATAATTATTAATTTTTCTTTTAGAACAATTTGCTTTGGCGATGAATTATACGTCTGATCCAGAGGTTTTGTAACTCATCATTTAATTTAACTTTAACAGATTTGATTACTAAAATATTTCATCTTTTAGGCGATTCGAACATTGAGATTGCTATATACCAATCATACTCGGCAAGGGAAAGAAATACAACGTCGCGTAGCCAAACAAGCACAACAATCCCCAAAGCCACAAGAACAATTAAATCCACAATCATCACATCGTACTAGAAGAACATCTTCATCTACGAGTTCAAAGTCTAATGCTAGTAATTCACAAGCGAAGAATAACTCTGAACGGATACAACCAAATCAATCTAAACAAAGTTCAACATTATCTACCCAACAAACAACTCGTCCAAATTCACAAGTAACACCCAATTCATGTGAGAGGTTATCATCTGACAATTTGAGAACCGGCAATAATGATACCCTTGGGATAAACAGTTTGACCAGCTCAAGACGAAATCCAGTATTATCTGATTGTGAGCTTTTTTTTTTCCTTCTTGATTAATTCTTAGAAATTACGACAATTAATAATTTATCTTAATCTAGCTGCTACATCAATGGGAGTATCAAGAACCAACACGATGACATCATCGACTACACAAAGTATGATGGACGGTTCTTCAGATTCAGAAAAGACGATTGAAGAATCATATATGATGCTAAAAGGAAATAATGATTCGACAGATGTAAGGTTATAAATTTAAGAAATCTATAAGTGTTATTATGTATTATTAATTTTTTTCGAAACAGGATGATGACTCGGATCCATTCAATAAATTCTGGGATATTGTTGAAGGATTGGTTCAAAAAATATCTAATCCGGTTGCCTTTGCTACGGTGCCTCTTAACGGTGCTGACTCTCAAACAAAATTTGATCCGAATACTATTCAATCTCCTTTACCATTTCGATATAATACAGCGAATGAAAATATTGGTTAGTCGCTTTTTATCGGTATCAGACTATAATTTATGGTGAATTTTAGTTTCATTTTACTAAATTATATTGAGGTTTTTTTAAATTATAGTAGATGATTCTAAAGTTGAAGAGCTCAACGCAGCAATGATGGAATCATTTTATATTATACCCAAGGACCAGAGGCCTAACTCTGGTTCACGAACTTTGGGGCTTCCGCAATCTTCGTCAGCATCATCCGCATCAACTCCTAAAACTCCGTTGGGCAGTCTAAGTTCGAATACAAAATCTTTAGAAGAATATTCTATCGAAAATAAACAACTCAAAGCTATAATAGATAATATGTCAAAGCGAATGTTAACTTATGAAAAGGTGAATATTTTAATTAATTTATTCAAAATGTAATAAAAAAACTAAAATTCCATTTTACTAGGCTGCAGAAGAGAACAATATGCTGAAAAGCAGTATTTTACAATTCAAAAATGATGTTCAGAAACAGGTATGAATATTTGTTTTAATAAGAATTCTTAATTTGCTTCGCTTTAATATGCTATTTTTTGTTTATTTTTTTATCATAGGCTAAACGAATAAAAGCAAGCCAGGAAATATTACGGTCATCATCTATAGTAAAGCAACCTTCTCCTGAAAGTTCAACTGGTAAATAAATAAATGTTTATATAACCCAATTTTATAAAATTTATCTAATTTTATTCTAAAATTCGTTGTATAATAGTTGGTAATGCTTATCTTCAAAGGCGCATAAAAGAGCTAGAGGAAGAAAATCGGCTATTAAGATCTGAAAGAGACAAACAGGTAAATATTTGTGAATTTTATTTATTATTTCAAATTTGACTTAAAATTAAATTAATTGTATAACCTTACCAACTTACAGCAAGAACTTGTGGCAAAATACAAAGATCGATGGGAAAAATTAAAGGAATCTGCTAAAAAGAAACGAGTTAACAAGCAGGCTGAAGCATCGCCATTATCTCAAAATGAAAATTCTTCTTCGACTAAATCTAACTCTGAAAATATCCAACAATCTGAACATCAAAATAATACTTCACCTACATCTTCAACATTTTCTAAACAATCTCAACTCGTTCTGCCAATTTCACCTACGACAAATACTACAACCACTACAGTAAATGAGGTTTCAGCTCAATCTCCATCATCGTCAGGAACAATACTTCCTTTTGCTCTCCAAAAACCACAACAGCGTCCTGGTGTAGGCGGAATATTAGACGTTTCATCAAATTCGAAAAATAACAATGTATTTTCAACTCCGCAACGACATTCCGCTCCGCCTACTACCACAATTTTACATGCAACTTCAACAGGTCCTAACAAATTAAATGCAGATCGAATGAATTTTAGTGGCAGTTCTGATAATATTGAAGTACCCCAATTAGCGTTTCTACCACATCCTCAACAACAAAATAGAGAAATTTCTGCGGAATCAACTATTCCCCCAATATCATCAGTTAATAACCCTCTATTATCAGCGCGTAGAGAGTCTGCGCCTGCTATTAATTCGTCCTCCAATTCAATAACGGCCTCGAGCATGTTTGGATGGGCTTTAAAATAGGCGGAAATTCTTCAGCACAAAGTATGTATCATACATAATCCCTCATCGGTAACAACTTTACATTTTAACTTGAAAGACAAAGATATATTTTAGTTTATAAGAACAAAAAAAATATTTTTTTTTGTATCCACGAGAAAGGAATAATTATAATTATTATGGGACATTCCAGAATTTATTTTTTATTTATATTATTATAATATGCATAACATATAAAAATACGTTTATTTAATTCATGCATGAATTACAAGTGAATGACAGTAATTTTCTAGTACTTTCTATTACTACGCGTCCTAAAAAAAAAAAAAAAATGTTTCTGTCAAATGAAGGATTCACGAGAAATTCGGTTTGCAAATGCATTGTATTTAAATGATAGCATAATTAGTGAAAAATGTCAAAGATTATATTATCTAAGCAAATAAATGAATTTAGACCCTTATATGCGATATAAAGATATGAACGAGTATACATTTTTTTTTTGCATGAATTTATTTAGAAAACGGTAACCCATGAGTATCCTTATAACATAAAAAAGGGGAATAGATCCATATAGCATGTCTAATACGATTTTTATGAAGTGTATCTCACGCGCATACCACGCATTGATGTAACAAAGTACTCCACAAATACACGCGGGCGCAATAGTAAATTATTCTTCATTTTAAAGCTTTAGTATTTTTTTTGTCCATTTTATTTTATTAATGTGTAGTGTAAACTTTATTAATTATGTAGCCATCACTTTTTTCAGGTGACGATCTCATTTTTCATATGATAATATGCAAATCGTGGGGAATCCATTTTTTCTCATCAATGATTGGTTCATTAAATGAAAAAATTTTAGTAAAGGAGAAACATGTGTTAACTGTCCCGCCACCAAAAAAATAATTTTGTGGCTGTCAACTTTATGTTTCTCTTGACATTTTATACATTTTTATTCGATGCACACAACTGATTGTCCGGTAAAAGATTAGGTAAAAAGATTTTACTTAAATCGGAGAACGTGGGAACGTACGAAAGACTTCAAATTAATTAATTTTAATATACTTTTTAATTTATTCTTGAAAAACAAATAAAATAAAAGCTACTGCCACAATCGAAAGTAACCGAATATTGCCACATAGGCTTGCCACAATTACTTTCACAGTACATTCATGGATGCAAAGGTTGATTGCATGAGATATTTCAGTTGAAGACTATATTTTACTAAGAATGAATGCACAATATTTTGAATGTCAAATGTCAATTATAAAAAAAAAATTATATTATTTGAGAAATTTAATTTCCCCGCAGATTAAATATGTAAAACCTCTTTGCATTCATTTTCACACTATTTTCACGAGTTCATTTTTTTATTGCATTTTATCATTTTATTATATATATATGTATATTTTTTTACAATATACAACAAACAAATGTACGTCAGTTATCTTATGACAAGACAATAGAATTTTGTAATCATTACACTTTTTTCCCGCCTCCTAGCTTGTGGCGCTTTCAATCAAATAGAAAAAATTTTAAATCATGAGAAATTTTCTAAAAAGTATATAAAAGGAATAATTTTTTTTGTTTCTTCCCAAAATTATTTTTCCTTTTCTCCACAAAAAAAAAAAATATCAAGTTCCAACAAAAAAAGAATTTGTTTTTTTGAAGAGTACAATTTTTATTAAACCATTTCTTTTTTCTTAAAAAAAAAAAAACTCCCCAATAAAAAACTTCATACAAATAAAAATGTGCAAGAAAGTTATTGTAACCGACATCTCTGATAAAGCTTCAGAAAAAACTGGTACGTTAAAAGAAGGAAACGTTAAAAGAAGGGAAATAAATAAATATATATACTAATCAGTGTAACATTGATTCTTTTGTGCAACTATAGTCAAAGACTTCTTCTTATTCTGTGGTAAAATCAAAGAATTTGAACTCATAAAGTAAGTTAGACTTACATGATAGCTTTTTAAATTCTCCAAAATTCTTATTTTTTTTTATAACTCCTTTACCTTCCTTTCCAATTCTATAGAGAAGAGAGCAACGATAAACAACTCGCTTACGTAACATTTGAGCGCGATACAGCTGCTAAAACAGCTCTAATGCTTACAAATGCTGTAATTGGTGATAGTCAAATTACAGTAAGACCTGCTGACGACGATCAATCTTATAATGATGATTCAGATGATTGTGATATACAAGCATCTAAACCGAAAGCTGCAATCTTTGCAGAAATTTTAGCTGCTGGATATACATTACAAGACGCAATCCTTGAGAAAGGAATTGAGTTTGATTCTAAATTTGGTTTTAGCAACTACTTTAAACAGTACTTGGCTCAGATTCAGGCCAATCGTACGTTTGATTTTGGTACTATTTTGGTCGATTTCTTATATTACAAAATGTCTAATGAATTTTGTTCTAACCTTCTTTTTTTCTTTGTTTCCTTTTCTTTTTTTCTTTATTTTTCTAGTCAAAAATTTAGATCAACATTACAAAGTTACAGAGACCGTAACTACCCGCGCAACCGATATTGACAAGAAATATTCGGTTTTAAATAATGCTAAATTTGTTATCGACCAAGCTCAAGATAGAGTTAATAACTTACTTGAAACATCTGCTGGCAAAATGATTTGCGAGTATCTTTTCTGCACACAAAAACAAGTCGCTGACGTTCAATCTTTGGCCAGAAAAATCGCCGATGACAAGAAACAAGAACGAAATTTCAACCCTGTTCCTTCTCATTCACATACGGATGATCAGGCATCTGGTCAACCAGTCTCCTGTCTCTTATACACATCTAGATGTGTATAAGAGACAGATCTTAGGTGTCCGTATTTTTATTTTTTATTTTTTATTTTTTTTGAAATAATACTTAGTTTCTTTTTTTCATACAAGGTTTCTCCAACACCCTTGTTTAATATGTATAATACGCTGCCGGATATATAGTATATAATGTATTCGATTACTATTATAATACCATTTTTGCATTTTGTTTTTTTAAAAAAAAAATATATCAGGAAAAAAACATTAATAATAAAATTGAAAATTGAAATAATAATAGAAAAAAAAAAATGTTCTTTGTAATTAAAGTTAAAAAAAAAAAAATTTTCATGCTACTTTATTTTTTTTAAAATATTTTTTCTTTGGTTAATTGATTTTGGTGTTTAATAAAATGTCACTGATTCACACTTTGCACGCTATGTGGAATTAAATCACCAAAGCAAAATGTTGGAAGATATTTTAAAAATATTGGAAAGAGTATATAAAGTGTATAAAGCAAATAAGTATTGTTAATTATTCATTTGTTTTGTTATAAAACCTTTTTTTATTTTTAAAAAAAATGTATAATATAATATTTACTAAATATAAAACCTGTCTCTTATACACATCTAGATGTGTATAAGAGACAGGTTTTATACTTCAATTAAAATTTATAAGATGTGAAACATTTTATTGATTTTTTTTTTTTTTAAAAAAAGAATTAAAAATATATATATTTATAATTATTTTACTCATTTAATATTTATTAAGGCTACATATTCTTGTGATTGGGAAGGATGTACGAGAGGTCAAAAACCTGTCTCTTATACACATCTAGATGTGTATAAGAGACAGGGGTTATTTTTTGGGGAAATATTATATATAACGCGAGATATAGTTTTTATATGGTGAAATAATTTCACCTTAAACCTTTCTCACAAAAAAAGAAAAAAATAAATGTAATCTTACAAATCAGTAATTGAAAATTTTTTACTGGATAAAAGAAAAAAAAACAAAGAAAATGATATGTTAGATGATAATTATATCTTATAAACATCTATAGTTCGATTAGAAAAAAAAAAAGAAAAGTTATGGAGTCATGCTCCTTTTTTTTATTGAAACTGCTTATTTTTATATATATAAACACGAAACGAATTTTCGAGAAAATTTTTACCGTAATACGAAAACCGAAAGAATTGCACTCAACAAGCCTCTAATTATTATTTGCAGACGGATTATTATTATTATTATTTGAACGTGGTGGCATGTTAGTAGATGGAGGCTGTGAGAATGAATGAGTCGTATGAGGATAAAAGTGAGCTGATGTTGAACTAGTTGATGTCTGCGAAGCTTCGGAAAAATTGACTCTGGGATGGTGAATTAATTCGGGACGATGATTTAATGGTGGTGGTTGAACTGGAGGATGTGAATGGTAATGATAACTATGCGGAGGTAATGTATTTGGCGGTGGCTGCATTAAACGATGTTGAGGATGGGGATAAGCAAAAGTACTATTCGGTGTTGACCCTACAGGTGACGGAGGATGTAATTGATGGACGGGCGGTAAATGATGAATTGGTTGTGGAACTGATCTAATATCATGCGAGGTACTTGTTGAGGTTGAGTCAATTCCTGCAGGTTTTTGTGGGAAAATATGATGAGGTTGATGTGGTTGATGTGGTGGAGGGGGTTGCGGTTGAGTTGCAGAGAATATACGATTTTGGAAATTTATATGCATCCCATTATTAGCCGATATGGCGATACCAGAAGGATGAACTGGAGGTAAAGACGTATGGGGCGCTCTAACATCATGCGTCTTTTCGTGTTTACGAAGAGAACGTGAATGATAATACGCCTTATTACATCCTTTATAGGGACATATGTACGGACGATGATTGGAATGCGTCTTTATGTGAGTTGTCAAGGAATCAGGTCTTGAAAATCTTTTTCCGCAGCCATTTATTGTACACACAAATGGTCTTTCTCCAGTGTGTGTTCGTAAGTGGTTGTACATTTTGTGACGTTTTGTGAACGGTTTTTGACCTCTCGTACATCCTTCCCAATCACAAGAATATGTAGCCTTAATAAATATTAAATGAGTAAAATAATTATAAATATATATATTTTTAATTCTTTTTTTAAAAAAAAAAAAAATCAATAAAATGTTTCACATCTTATAAATTTTAATTGAAGTATAAAACTTACTTTTCCACTACCAATATGTGTCTCACCGACGTGTGAAATAAGTGATTCTAATGAAATAAGTATTTTTGTACATCCTCTCCACATACATTTATGTATATCCTTTTTATCCTCTTCACCTTCTTGTTTAACGTTTGATGATGAAATTGTTGGAGAACTTTGAGTGGAATAACCAGCCACTGCAGTTTCAGACCGATTAGAGTCTCTTTTCACGTCCTCCATTTCATCCGGAGTTGCTGACGAAACTGCAACAGTTATATTAGGTTTAATTAATATGCATATTCAAATATGTCCATACACACTCAATTTCAATAATCTTTTTCATTAAAAAAAATATTATTAACACACCACTACCATCAGAATCCATACTCGATCTTCTTGAATCAGAGGGACGTGCACGTTTATTATGACCTTTTGAATCAGGAATACGATTCTTTGGATTCCTTTCACGTTGCTCATAATATTTTAATCTTGCAATTAATTGATCTCTTGTCATATTAGGATGTTCATATTGTGCTAACTGAGCATAAAGTTTCTCTAATGACATATCTTCAAAAGAAATGGATGACCAATTTAATGGATCAATAGATTTTGATGATTCAACTCCACCCAAATCATTATCTCCGTTAATAAGTTGAGAATAATATAAACCATTTGTAGAATTTTTTCTAGATTGATTATAATTTTTAATAGCATCAACATTTTCCTGAGCCGCTAAATCAATTGACTCTTGAGAAATATTATGATCTTTTTTCTCGGAATCTTTTGAACCAGATTGTTTCTCACTCAAATTTAGGTGTGACAATTTTCCAGAAGCCTGTTCATTTATTTGTGAATCTTGTGTTTCTGAATCTAAAGAATTATTAAGTTTATGTGATTGTTGGTCCTGTTGAGACTGTTGAGATTGTTGATGCTGTAAAGGCATTTCAGACTTCACGACTTCAACAACCGATTTTTGCGATGATTGCATACCCAATTGTGGATTTTCGCTAACAAAAGTTAATGTTTGTGTCTGTTGTGGTGCATTATTATTATTTAAAAGATTTGCATCTACTACTACTGTGTTATGTTCACCACCTACATTAATTAAATGTATTGGAGTAACATTTGGAACCACAATACTAGTGGGATTAATAGTCGTGGGATTAATACTTGTGGAATTAATGTTTGTGGGATTAATGCTTATGGGACTATTAGTAGTATTCCAATTAGGGGCAACGGATGGAACAATTGGAGTAATTGGAGCTATTGAAGTCATTGAAGTCATTGAAGTCATTGAAGCCATTGTAGCCATTGTAACTATTGGAGCTGTTGGAGCAGCTATTGGAGCAGCTATTGGAGTAACTGGAGTAATTGGAGTAACTGGAGTAATTGGAGCTGAACTCAACAAATTATTTATAGGAGTTTGACATTTGCTAGAAACCGGTATATTGCTAGTAGGATCAGCTTGAGTGCTTATCGCAGCATTAGATATATCAGCGGCCAATTGATTATTATTTACGATTTCCATACGTAAACGCCTATTTTGTTCTTCTAATCGAGTATTAGTCATTGATTCAACAATTTGAGCATTAGCCAAAGATTCCACAAGTTGAATAGGGCCATTACTGACTACGGCTTGTACAGCAGTTGTAGAAATTTGGGAAATTTGATTAGTCGTACCAGGGTTATCAATCATCACGACCACGGAAGGTTGTTCAGGATCAGCGGAACTAGATTGAATTTGAGGATTAGTCATCACTTGAGCCACTTGAGCCACTTGAGCAGCTTGAGCCACTTGAACTTGAGCTTGAGCACCAGCAGCAGCAGCTTGAGCCACAGCGGCATTAGCTACTTGTTGAACGGCAGCGGCCATAGCAGCAGCTTGAACAGCTTTAGCTTGTACCTGCGCATTAACTTGCTCAGCATCTGCTTGAGCTTTAGCCACAGCAACTTCAGCCGCGACTTGAGCAGCTTGAGCAGCTTGTATTTGAGCTTGAGCATGTTCGGAATCAGTTTGAGTTTGAGTTTGAGTTTGAGCTTGAGCTTGAGCTTGAGCTACTGCTACAGCAGCAGCGGCAGCTTCAGCCTTAGCAGCTTGAACTTGAGCTTGAGCTTGAGCTTGAACTTGAGCTTGAACTTGAGCTTGAACTTGAGCTTGAACTTGAGCTTCAGCTTGAGCTTGAGCAGCTACAGCAACAGCAACTTGAGCAGCTTGTACTTGAGCTTCTACTTGAGCATGAACAGCAGCAGCAGTAGAAGCAGGACCATTTTCTATAATAATATGATTTGGTTGGACATCCATATTAATAGGATTATGTTGATCTTGAGGTTGTTTTTGTTGTTGTTCGGCCATAACTTGCATCATAGCTTGCATCTCAAGAGCTTGAACTTGAGCTTGAACCTGAGCTTGAACTTGAGCAGCTTGAGCTTGAGCTTGAGCTACTTGAGCAGCTTGAACGACTTGAGCAGCTTGAACAGCTTGAGCATTTGCTAAAGTACTTACAGCATTTGCTTGATCTAATTGTTGTTGTTGTCTATTTAAATCTATTAATGAAGTATTAGAAGTTACAGGAATTGGTATGGTAGATATTATTTCTCTATTAACTTGATCTAATATAGCCTGATTTAATATATGATCTTGAGTAGGATTAGTGATTATAACCTGATTTGAAGGAAGCACAACTTGATTAGGAGGAGGAGGAATAATAACTTGAGTAGTAGGAACAGTTAAAGTTAATTGAGGTCGTTGATCTTGTTGAGTTACTAGTACCTGATGATCTATAACTTTTGTAGGATCAATCAAAGAAGGAGGTATTGAAACATTAGGATCTATTGAATTTATTTGATTTATTGATAATTGAGATGAATCAGTTGTGTCTAAATTATTTGTAGTGGAAGTAACAGTGTTAACAGCGTTCATAACTAAAACATGTTGCATAGTAGCCAAATCTTGAGCGGTAGGATCATTTATAGACACAGGAGTAGTATTTTCGGTTGTTAATTGAGGTTGTGCAGGTAAAGTCGTAGTTGTTGTGTCTATGACAACTTGTGACTGTTGATGTGAAGTGTCTATAAGTAATAAAGGAGCAGTAGGGTTTTGCAATGAATCTAATGTAGAATTTATAGATGATTGTTGTGTAGTAGTAGTAAGATTTAAACCACTTAAAGTATTATTATTCGTTGAAGGAGTAATATTTGGATTAGTTGTCATCGTTGTCGGTGACATTCGAGCATATTCGAAATTTTGAGATTCCATTTATATGAAAATATTAAAATTAATTTTTTTTTTTTTTATAATCTGTCAACCGAACAACGAAAAATTTTTTTTTTCATGGATAATAATAATAATATAATAATTAGGAAAAA